AATGTAGATTTCTGTAACCAATACGAATACACACAAGTTGTAGCAGTGGCATTTTTACTTTCTCCCCCTATACATAGTATATGGAGAATGTACCTATTGTTTTCGTCAAAATTTTTGAATTACAGTTTTGAGGGGATATATCCGTTTTGGGTCCTCCTGAACTCAAAAAAATTGTTTTCAAAGTGATGTCTGTGTGTGTGTGTGTGTGTGTGTGTGTGTGTGTGTAGATGTGTACAGAGCTACAGACTACACCTTTAGTCCGATTTTGATGAAATTTAGTATGTATGAAATTTGGGCAATTTTTTCAAAATTTTGATTTTTAATGGTGATTTTCCCATAAAACCCCATTAATAATGGAAAAATCCAATTTTCTCAAAAACGGCCCGAACGATTTTGATAAAAATTTTGTAGCTTTAGTCCTTTAAATTCTGAACGAAATGGTACAAATTCCATATCCGTAAAAATTACAGTTCAAAAGTAAATGTAACTTATGTTATTTTCCCATAAAACCTCATAAAATAACAAAAAATTGTATTTTAGAAAAAAAAACAGTCTCGATTAAAATTTTTATGTTATATGGTCCTTTAAATTTTGAACAAACTAGTACAAATCCCATTTCCGTAAAAATTACGGTTAAAACATTATTGTAACTTATGTTATTTTCCCATAAAAACCCTATAAAATAGAGACAAATTGGATTTTAGGAAAAAAACTGTTCTCGATTAAAATTTGTATGTTGTGGTCCTTTAAATTTGAACAAAATGGTGCAAATTTAATTTCTGTATAAATTACAGTTCAAAATTGATTGTAACTTATGTTATTTTCCTATAAAAAACCATAAAATAACAAAAAATTTGGCTTTAGGAAAAAAGCCGGCTTTGATTAAAATTAATTTGTTATGGTCCTTATAATTCTAAATAAAATAGTGCAACCCCCCGGATTGCTGTAACAATTACGGTTCAAAAGTTATTGCATGTGATTTTTCCCTATAAAATATCATAGCTACTCCCACCGCTTACTCATATTAAAGGTTGTTGGCAAGCTTATGGGAGAAAGTATGTGTCAGATTGCTGATACTGTTTATTATTTTTAAATTAAGCTCCAATAAATTATATTCTAATGTCTTGTCATGCTTGGTCAAGTTAACCAGTCAATGACTACTTATCATGACAAGGAGCAAACTTTCACCAGAATTAGCATGCTTCCTTGAGTGAGTGACCTTTGCCTCTTAGATAACTTATCAGTGTGTAGTCAAACGCCTCATCTTCAGTCTCAGTCTCGTGCATGTCTTCTCTTTGACCGGTTCATGACTCATGAGAATTTTACCTTTGAACCACTAATTTCAGCCAAACAATGGTATTTATACTTTCTGTCATTAACTAAATGTACAAAATATGTTAGTTAATAAGATTATTGTGATTTAGATTTTTTAGAACAGTATTGTGGTTGGGACTGATTGAACTCTTGCCAATTCCATGTGGTTATGTGTGAGGTTTATCCTCTTTTGGTTTTGATAATTCATTATTATCTTCAAGCGGTGGCTTTGGGGTTGGATTAATTTTTTTACAAGTCAGATAATGAAAAATGATTATTTTACTTTTTAAAATTTCACTTCTAGTGCATTTACCAAAACATTGCTAAATTGTTTTCCGACAGGCTAATGTTTTACCAATAGTGTCATGTCAATCAGGTTAACTTTTTGCTTACTCATTCCTTAAATTAATTTTTTTCTTGGTATTCAAAAAGAAAATTACGCTGTCAATTCATTGACAACAGTACAACAATTTATTATAGTTTGTTGTCTCATTATTGCATTCCCTCAATAGGGAAGAAACTATTACCATAGGTGGCATAGTAAGTCCTACACCTGGGACAATTTTGATTTTCCATTTGAAAAATTGAAAATGTGATTCCTAATAAATAAATTTGGCCAACATCGCAAGCTACATAAAAAATTACAGTGCTCTTAATAACATCAACACCTCTTCATGACCAAGGTTGACAAGAAATAAGACTTAAGACTGTGGTTTTATTTTCTGCTGGTTTTGAGTTAAACTCTAATCTGTAATTAATACAGCCAACATTTCTAAGATAGCTTAAAATATCTTTTGATTTAAATAAATAAATAAATAGTTCCTTCATTCATGTCATGAATTGTAATAGCTTGTTAATCTCATTGCAAGTCAACCCCAAAACCTTGGCCTCTTAATCGAGTCAGGGAAGTAAAATAAATACCCCCGCCACAGCAAACCTGCAGACTAAGCGAATTTACATTTGCCTGATTGTATTTACACTATAATGTCTCCTTAAAAATATCAAATTTATTCCCCATTTAAATAGAACTAGCTGTTACCCACAGGCTTCACCCCGTTTGACTTCATAAGTATTAATAAAACTATTGATTGGTTAAGTTAAACCTGAAATTAACAAAATACAGTAAAACAAACAAATAATCACACCTGATTTTAATAAGGTAATAAATTGAAAGAATAACAAACAAATAAGTACAGCTGAGGTATTTTTAACATTAGGTATATGGAAAGTTCCCTTTAGAAAGGAATTACGACCTTAAAGGGCAATTTATGAAATAATGGATAATTTTGCACAAGGTTTAGCGTCATGAAGAACATTTTTAGTATATGGTTTATGGGGGTGTGACATGTAGTTTTCTCAAAAGTTCATGGGTACTTTTGGCTTTATATAAAGACTAGCTGTACCCACGGGCTTTGCCCCGTTTTACTTCATAAGTGAGCTCGTTCGCATGGATCAATCACGTCCTGGTTGAAGTTCGTTCGCTACGCTCACTCACCTTTAGGTTGGAGCTCGTTCGCTCCGCTCACTTGCCTTCAGGTTAGCTCGTTCGCTACGCTACCTCGCTTCCAAGTTGAAGTTCGTTCGCTACGCTCACTCACCTTTTGGTTGCAAATTGGCTGTAGTCATAAATTTTAAAAAATAATTGTGCTGCATCCTGTTGGTAATCCTTGTAACTTTAATGCTATTGAACATCATAAAACAGAACCAACTTGTTTAATTGAAACAGCTGTTAAGAAATTCCTTTTAAAATATGAAAAATCATAAGGTTAACATGGGAAACTCCAGAGCCCGAAAGCCCGATCAGAATAAAAACTACTTAGTTTTCCTATTTAATGCCTAAAGAATCAGTGTACCGAATTTCAGCCTCCTAGGTAAATGGGAAGTGGGAGAATTAGTGATAAGTGAGTGAGTGAGTGAGTGAGTCAGTCAGTGAGGGCTTTGCCTTTTATATATTTAGATTAGTTTAACGAGTACTTAGGTTTGCTGCAACAGGGAGGGTAAAAAAGTGTTTTTTTATTTTTTTTTTTATTTTCATAGTTTAGTAAGAAATAAATGCATTTTCCAAATGTGATCAAAATATGTTCATAAACAAGCAAACTACAACAGTTTACATTCTCCATAAGAATAACATGGGAATTTTAAATTTATTATTTTTTTGAATTTTCAACTCTGTAGACATTATTGTTACACGATAATTACCTAGGGTTATCTAGTAAAAACACAGATTACCAGTGTACGGAATTTTCTCCGTAACCATTAGGCGCATAATAACGCTTCAATATACTAAATAATTTGTGTTTTTTTTTTTAAGCTCCACAAAATAGTTTGGAAAGAAATTGCTAAATTTTATGTTTTTGGGTCAAAAATATGAAAAACCAATTTTTACCCCATAAAACCCTCCATAAACCCCTTTCCCATAGTCCGATCATGCTGGTTCGCGAACTCGTTCAAATAAATGTAGGTTTACACATTTATACAAACTTCATCAAAATCTGATCATTTTTGCTTGAGGTATCGTGCTAAAGGACACATATATGTAGCCTATATATATTTGAATTTGAACGGATGGTGTTTTTGGCCCCAAGCAACCTCAAAACGAAAAAGTAAATCGGTGCCGGGTCCAGGTCTTACCATGAGTACTACAGTAATAGCTTATTCCCTATATGGGAAATTCGCTAAATACTGAACAAATAAAAAATAACATCTTCATCCAACCTTCATACAATCTTCACTGCACATTCCTTCCCGTAACCTAGGGTGATAGGGTGAAAGCGGATGCTATTCAGTTAGGTTCCAGATAAAACCATAAACTCACTCAGATGTTACTAAATTACTGTGCTACTGACTTGCATTTTACATTGGTTATGCGTGCTTCGTGCTGTGAAATCTCAAATCTGTAACTGAGCTGTAGTTAAGTAAGGGATTATGATGGTGATTCTGTTTTTATTAACATCAAATGTTAGTAGTTGCCCGCTATTGTTTAATATTTTAGTCTTGTTTGTGTTTAATGAAAATTAATATGTCATAAGGATTCAAAAATCTTTTTGAAATGCTCTTGCATCATTCCATTATTCCATAACCAATACCCTGCAGGCTTCTTTGAAAACATAATATCAATCAATTATAAAAATTATATAATATTTATTGGAAATGCTAAGCAAGTTCACTTTAATACTAACACTTTAAAGTAAACTTGACTTTCATTGAAAGTCATTGAGGGTTAGTTACTATAGTTGACTGTTTGACAATGGATAGAACTAAACATTTCATACTGATGTTAAAGTTGAAGCCAGTTATAGGATAAAAAAATGACATAGTTGAATTTAGCCACTGACAGTGTGCGCTGAAGTAAATTACTGATTAGTGTCAACATGTATCCTTATTAAACTGAAAGGACAACTTGCTATAAACTATAGAAACTTTTAGGTCACAACAACTATCATAGTAAACAAAAATGGGGGGGGGGGGGTGATAGAAATTCTGACTGTAGAACACCCTGTAGACCCCCCCCCCTGACCCCTGTGGACCCTGTTTGACTGAACTATTTTAAAATTAAAATTCTGGCTACATCAGGTCTATACAGGTGGGATGTCTACTTCAGTATCAAAAAGTCAATAGTTGACTACAAAAATACATAAAACTCGTAACATTTGTAATTTGATTTTTTAAATCTCCAACTCCTCCAGGTGCCGGACGTCATAGCCAGTCCACTTTCCGTTTTTGACGCCGTCCAATCAGGAGATGTCACAGCAGTTGAACAAATTTTACACCTTGACCTTAATCAGATTGACAAGGTGCGTTAAGTTTTGCATTTACTTCCTTAAGGTAGGCAAAAAAATGGTGTAAGAAATTCTCTAAAACCGCCTAAATGTTGTGAACAGAGTATAGACGCAAAATGTCTTTTGAGCTATGAATTATGTTTCTGATGTGGAGAAATAAATCCAATCAACTGAGCCAAATTAACTGTTATGATTTGAGGTTGATGACGTAACATAGAGTTAAAGCCATAAGTTTCAAGTATATTTGTGAGGATAGCAGGGAAAGAGTCCACTCTGGCACAAGAAATACATATTTTTTTAGTCACTCCACTCCAATCGTTTAGACCAAAATTGTTACCGATATAGCTGGAAATAATTCACAACCTCTCTGCAATCTTTACATTTCTTTAAATACTTTTTTGGTAATTTTAACTAATAAAAACTATGTTTTTCACATTTAAATTTTCTTACGCAGAATGGAGAGTCAGTGTTGCACGTGGCGGTGAGAGCTGATAATACAGAGATCACACGACTGTTGCTCTCCAGTGGTGCCAACCTAGCAGCCGCAGACAGTATGGGTGAGACAGCAGTTTTCCACGCAGCGAGGCACGGCAACGAGCAACAGTTGGCACTCCTGATCAGAGCCGGCTCTAGCCTCACCAGCTGCAACAAGGTGAGGACAGTAAACATTGGTTGGTTTTTCCTTGATATTTTTTGTTATTGAAAATTTTAATGTTGTTTACACCTTTAAACAAATATACAAGGTGTCACAAAATCTATTAGAATATCTACAAGGGTCGTCCACAAAATAACCTCCGTTTTGAAATAAAATGTTTTAATCCAGTAGAGATACAAAAATTGCATTACATAGATTTTAAAACTACAGTTTTTCTCTGCTATTATACATAATTCACCAAAGAAATTTAAGCACTTATTATATCTTTTAACAGTTTTTAAAATTCCGTCTCTAAAAAAATCTGCTGCCTGAGAAAGATGCAAACCTTTCACAGCGCTTTGAAACACTGTTTGCGTCACTCGCAAACTTCTGAGATGGAAACCACCGCTTCATGTTCAGGAAAAGGTGAAAGTCACTGGGAGCTAAGTCCGGGCTGTAGGGGGGGGGGGGAGGGGTCAAAAACGTCCCATTTGAACTTTTCCAAAAGTTCAGTTGTTCTTTGTCCTTTGTGAGGGCAAACACAAAGCCTTATGTACAAACACAAAGCCAGATGTCAGATGACCAAGATGCTCATTGTAGCCGTTTTAAAGTTTCACAATAAAATGTAGATGTAATGGTCGTTCCACGCTCCATAAATTGACTTTTATCATATATTGTACGTATTTTCTTATAGATTTTATGATCCTTGTTAATCAGCTAAAGACAATTTTAAAGTTAGTCTCAACTGGTTAATTATTTGTTTTGCTATTTAACACTAGATTTTACAACATATATTTTAAGCCTAAGTTTACAAAAATAACCCCCAATAATGCTAGTTTTTAATTGCTTGCAGCAGGGATTTTGTTTCCCTCGAGAAGATAGTCAACATGTGTTTGGATCCCTTTTTGCCACGTTTTCACCAAAGATTTTAGCAAAATGGACTTTAGCTATTGACAAAACTTTTGGCTTTATTTAACTTTCTTCACAAAAAGATAAATTAATTTTCCTTGGTTTTGTTGGTCAGGAAGGTGACACACCTCTACACATTGCAGCGACATGGGGTCACCTAGAATGTGTCAAGTTGTTGGTAGAGAGCAGAGCTCTTGTAGATGTGGTTAACCACCAGGGGGCGACTCCTCTACATCTCTCTCTCACTCACAGACACTCAGACGTAGCCACGTACCTCATACACCAGGCCGGGGCCGATGTAGAACTGCAAGACATGGTGAGGCACCTGTTGAATAAGAAATTAAGTTTCAGTGGGATAAAAATCTTTAATTTGTGTTCTTGTCCTTTCACAAAATACATATGTTATGTGGTGTAGAGACTTTGATAGTTGTGGAGGTTTTGTTGATTCAAATCAGAAAAATCACTTAACAAAATATATTGCCAAGCCAAGTTTCAAATTAGTAACAAGTGAATGCTTTATCACTACAGCTATAATTTTAAGTCATAAGGTTTTGAACTATTAACGCTCGACCCACCATGATAACCAGAGGCTGAAAACTTGATTTTATTTAATCAAACTGATTGGATCAATAATTTTTAACACAGTGCATAGTGTGGTAATAGTAAAGCAATTCAGTCCTTATGTTTCTGGTTAAAATACCACCCAATCATAAATGAATTATTTGATTGTAAGCCTAATGATACTCTGATACTCTTGCAGTGGTTAGAACTAACTCAAGCCCTACACCAACTTATACAGAGTGTTGTTTTTTTTTTACTCAACCCAAGTTACAAGTATGTAAAGACAATATTTAATGACAAAACATCCTCATGTTAGTATCTCTTTTTACTTTACTTCATTGCCAATCAGCTAATATGCATTGTTGCATAGTTATATTGCAAATGAGTTTTAGTATTATTGTTAATATTTATTGTGAATATACTCATCATGGGTAAAAAGCTCAAAAAGTATGTAAATTGTACGATAAGATAAAATCATTGGTTTTATGCCGAGATAGGTTTGAATTTATGTTTCCATGGGTGATTTCAGTAAGTAAAAAATCAGTCATCTTTAGAAAACTATGAAAACTTAGACCATCAATACATATGGTACTTTATTTTAGCTTGCAAAAACACCATGTTGAGTCTCATTTACAATAATTTCTCAATAACTCTAAACCTCATAGATATAATGTATATGCAACAATGCATATTAGCAGATTGACAATGAAGTAAGGAAAACAGGTATATATGTAAATTTAAGCTGGTTTTGTCGTTAAAAAGTGTCTTTCAATAGGTAGTTTTGTTCAACCAAAAGCTCTAGGCCAGGATTTTGTAGATCGATTGTATACATTTTCTACATTTTAGCGAATTTCCCATAGGGAATAAGCTATTACCGTAGTACTCATGGTAAGACCTGGGCGCGGGACCGATTTTATTTTTCGTTTTGAGGTCCCTATAGGCCAAAAACACCATCCGTTCAAATTCATATATATATATTTATATATTTATATATATACTAGCTGACCCGGCGAACTTCGTATCGCCTAAGTTATAGGTTTCCCCTAAGACAGACCGATGGAAAGAAAGTACCGTTACGTTTAATTTTCAAGATGATCTCGTTCGCATCGCTCAATCACGTCCTGGTTGAAGTTCGTTCGCTACGCTCACTCACCTTTGGGTTGGAGCTCGTTCGCTACGCTCACTCACCTTTAGGTTGGAGCTCGTTCGCTGCGCTCACTTGCCTTCAGGTTAGCTCGTTCGCTACGCTCACTCGCCTCCAGGTTGAGGTTCGTTCGCTACGCTCACTCACCTTTTGGTTGCAAATTAGCTGTTGTCATAAATGTAAAAGAAATAATAGTGCTGCACCCTGTTGGTAATCCTTGTAACTTTAATGCTATTGAACATCATAGAACAGAACCAACTTGTTTAATTGAAACAGCTGTTAAGATTCATTAATTCCATTTCTCATAAGGTTAACATGGGAAACTCCAGAGCCACTGGGGCGGAGCCCTTTTAAGAATTAGGAATGTCGGCCATAGTCACTAACAAGACTACAAGATCGTGCCACTCATCCTACACTCATCTCCATTCATACTTGGCTTAAAATACCTACATAGTATGGTCGCCATTTCATAAGAAAGTATAAGTATAAAGTATAATTTCGAAACGGGAAATAGTTTACGTCCGATTCGCATACCTACAGAATTTACACACCAAATTTCATAACGATCGGTGAAGTCGTTCCGGAGGAGTTTGCAGACAAACACTGTGACACGAGAATTTTATATATTAGATATATATATGTGTCTGTCAGCACGATAACTCGAGCAAAAATGATCCGATTTTGATGAAATTTTGTACAAACGTGTAAACCTACGTTTATTCGAACGAGTTCGCGATCCAGCATGATCGGACCATGGGAACGGGTGTTTACGGGGGGTTTTATGGGGTAAAAATAGGTTTTTCCCATTTTTTACCTAAAAAACATAAAATTTAGCAATTTATTTCCAAACCTGAACATGAATCCCTCTCACCAACACACCTGCGCATGAGTTGCTGGGGACTCCCCCTATAGGACAATTACATTTCCAATGGAGGGAGGTATCATGGCAAGAGGTTAACAATGTTGTAGCTAATTTCTCAAATTCAAAAGCTATGGATCATTACTGGTTTTCAAATGATAGCATCAAACAAATAATTCATTTTATAAGTGAGCCTCTGGCTTTTGGTATTAGTAAATGTTTGAAAATTGGTTATTTCTCTGACCTTCTCAAAATTTCTAAAATTATTCCAGTATATAAAAAAGGTGATAAAAATCTTCCTAGTAATTATCGCCCTATTTCAATAGTGCCAATCTTTTCCAAAATTTTTGAATGTCTCATGCATAAACAAATGAATGAATATTTTGAAAATAACAATTTATTGACAAATTCACAGTTTGGATTTCGAGAGGGTAAATCAACAACTGCAGCTGTCTTAGAAGTAATTAATAAATCTTTAAATGCATTTGAAAATAAAGAAACTGTTTCATTAACTTTATTTGATCTTACAAAAGCTTTTGACTCTGTACCTTTTGATATTTTATTCAAAAAACTTGAATTTTATGGTATTACAGGTGAAACTTTAAAAATTTTAAAATCCTATTTAACTAATAGAAAGCAGTATGTATCTGTTGGAGGCAGTCAGTCTAACTTAAGATTGGTTGAAGTAGGTGTTCCACAGGGCTCGGTTTTGGGACCCTTCTTGTTTTTAATCTCGATAAATGACCTGCCGAGGAATGTTAAAGTAGACACTGTTGTATATGCTGATGACACAACTTTGATTGCAACAAATAGAGATATCCATGAGCTTGATTTAATTACTAATGAATCAATAACATCAGCACTAAATTGGTTTTCTTCAAATAAATTGACATGTAATCATGAAAAAACACAGAAAATTCTTTTGAGTCTATCCCCACTTGACAATGAATTAAAATCTGTAAAATTATTAGGCTTCCAAATTGATTCAAAATTAAATTGGCAAGAGCACATAGAAATCACTTGTAAAAAAATTTCCAGAGTAAATTATCTAATTTGGAAACTCAGAGATTTTGTTAGTAATGAATACCTTCGGATTACTTATTTTGGTTTTTTTCAATCTCATATTTCTTACGGGATTATACTATGGGGACACTCCCCCCACACCCATGAAATTCTTTTATTACAAAAAAAGTCATACGAACAATCTGTGGGGCTGGCCCTGTGGATAGCTGTCGACTTCTTTTTATAGACCTTAAAATTATGACCGTTGTAAATTTGTATATTTTTCACATACTCCTCTACACTAAAGCCAATCTTCATCAATTCACTTGTAGAGAGAGTATACACTCTTACAATACAAGAGGCAAATCCAATCTAGATATCCCTGCTCATAGATTGGCCAAAACAGATAACTGCCATAAAATAAATTGCATACGGTTTTTTAATAAATTAGGTCTGGCAGCAAAACAGGTTCCTTTTAATAGGTTTAAGTCTAAAATGTTTGAGTGGCTCATCCAAAATCCATACTACTGTATAACAGAGTACTTAGTTTCTGATGTTAATATTAATTTTTAATTTAGAACCCACTGTATTTTATAGCTTTAGTTTTTATTTCTATTGTTGACTATGTCTATTCCTTGTAAAAGGTCAATGACAATAAAGATCTTGATTCTTGATTCTTGATTCTTGAACCATTTTGTAGAGCTTAAAAAAACAAATAATTTAGTATATTGAAGCGTTATTATGCGCCTAATGGTTACGGAGAAAATTCCAAAAAATTGTAAATTTAAAATTCCCATGTTATTCTTATGGAGAATAAGTGAACTGTTGTAGTTTGCTTGTTTATGAACATATTTTGATCAAATTTGGAAAATGTTTTTATTTCTTACTAACTATTAACATTTTACAAAAAAAAACAGTTTTACCCTCCCTGATGCAGCAAACCTAAGTACTTGTTAAACTAATTCTATTTAAATCGGGAATATATTTTTAAGTAGACATTTCAGTGTAAATCCAATCAGTCAAATGGAAATTCGCTTAGTCTGCAGGTTTGCTGCGGCGGGGGTATTAATAGTTGTAATTATTTAGGTTGCATTAAAAAACCCCTTTACAGGGGGATCAGATTTATATAGCAAGGAGCTTTTTATTTCTTCTTCAAAAGTGTTTTAAAATGTGTGTAATGGCATAGGCATACTGTATATCTCTTTGTTTGTCATTGCCAAAAATATTTCACAGAATGGAGAGACAGCACTCCACGGTGCAGTCAGAGAAGGCTTACTGGGTGTTGTACAGAGTTTGTGTCGTCTTGGTTGTGACACGGACATTCCTAACAAACAAGGCCTATACCCCCTCCACCTGGCCGCGCGATATGGACACACGGAGATAATCAGGTACAGTAACAATTCATTTCACACAGAGATATCAGTTTAGGAAATTTAATTTTAAATTGGTTCATGTTGGAAACGTTCTAACCAGACCCTGTGGATCAATTGAAATTTCAAAACTTGCCACCGAGCAGGTCTTGCTAATAACCATGGGCGGCCACTGCCCCCCCCCCCCTGTCGTTGAATATATTTTTAAAATCTAAATCTAAAAATTAGGCATGAGGAGATTTAAATTTTACTATTCACCTTCTTCCATATTGGCCAAAAATGCATGTTTATAGATATTATGTTCAACCTGAGGAGGGTTCCATACCCCCGGCCCATAAAATTAATTAAATAAAGCGGCCTTCTACTTTTCAACTGGCTGGATCCGTCCATGCCAGTAACCCTTATCATAGGCCATTTATTTAATTCATATTTATTTTATATAAGAGTTTTAAGCAACTCTACAGACAGGACCTACAGGACTGACCAGTACGTTATCAAAGGTACATATTTCTTGCTTGTTTGAACTGGCTTTCCTTTTCATTCTAAATACTGGTACATAGTTTAATTAATTCATTTCATGATTAAATTAATTTAGTTAACTATTCCCCAAGCCCATCTGCACCCGTCACTCCCTGGTTCCCAGTTGATAGTGTCCTAGGTGTCCTGATTGATATTGTCCTGGTTGATATTGAACTGAGACATTTTACATCATATTTGATGGTTTATCCAATGCGTAATCTAATGTATCCTCCTCATCTTCACACTATTGACCCCAAGTTTTTGACTGGCTCTTCCAGGTTATCTTATCCCCTCTCCAGCTGCACATCAGGAGGCGTTGTCTTTAACTATAGTCTAGGCAGCGATGTGACATAAAACTAACAATGTGTTTTACAATTAGGTCAACTCAATCATTCTACTCCAAGATGGACTACTGGAATCACTCTAGTGGTAATGAAAAGTCAATTGGTAAAACGATACTGCCTCTTGCAGGAACAACTAGTACAAAAATAAGAGGAATTGTAAGAAAAAATGCCTTTCCGCTGCAATGTAACAATTAAAAACAGTTCTTGCAATTGTAGGTACATGTTTTCTTTTATAAATATCTACACTATTGGCATTTTTTTAAGTTAATTTGTTAGAGGACAGTCCAAACCCTGACCTTATAAATTTAACTTCAACCATTTTAACACGTACAGTGCAGTTGCGCAATGGTTGGCCACGGCCAGTGGTGGGAACAGCTAATAATTCGCTGCGTGGTTGAGGCCATGAAAACGTTTAAATTTATTTTCATCCAAATTAGAGTCATATTATAGCATGTACTGCTTTCCAGTTGTTGTGGACGAAGTTTTAAAAGGACCCAACAGATAGCAGCACTAAACTAAACTGCTAGCAGGCCCTCACCATGGCCAAATGGAGAGATACAGCAGGGGCTAAAAACCCAGATACACCATCGAAAAAGATCGCATTTGCAAGGCTGAGCTCACACACGAAACCTTCCCGATTCGAACCCCCCCCCCCCACCAGCATTCTGGGCTGAAGAACTGATTGTAGCTGGATCGAATACCACCAGTGGCACTAACTTTTTGTTAAAGATTTAGCTTAAAATGTGATTACTTCTTGTACATCTTTTGTTAGAATTTGAGGCATTTATAATTTTATAAATGGTGCGGTGGTGGGGGGTGTTCCGATCGGGAAGGTCTCGTAGCTCACACTGAGGCATGATTGTTGGCATGGTAGGAAACGACTTTTCCCGTCTCTTCCCACTGGTGCCGGTACTGTGGGGCGAGAATTCCAGCCCCGCACACTTAACTTGTTAATTGCCCAATGGCAGATGGCAACTGAGTCCTGAATCTTCAAATCTAACCAGTGAACTTCACATTTTAAGTCAAATACTTTAACTACACTGCTACCCAGTCATTTGAGACAGAGCAGTTTTCTTGGTGTAGTGAGAAGAAGAGATAGGGCGCTAAAACAATGAACAGAACTGAGTTAACATTCAAGGATTTTTTTTCTTTTTTCCGTATGTCCCACCTTCACATCCTAGGATGCTAGGTTCTAGCCCGGAACTATTTTTAACATTTACTTAAGGCTAGTCCTAAAGAATTGCGGCATTATCACATAGAAAAAATCCATTAATGATTGGCAGAATTTGAACCCGGCAACCTCAGGCTCCAAAGCCCCGCGCTCTACCATTAGACCAGCTTGCTTCCCATTAAAGGATTTTCATACCTTTTTCAGGAGTCTCTGCTTGGCAGGCTGCAACACAGATGTGAAAAACCAAGACGGAGCCAAGGCCGAAATTACAGCTCTGAAATTTGGCCATAATGACATCAGCAATCTGCTTAACAGGGTGAAAAATGTAAGTAGATTTTTAGCGAATTTCTCATGAGGGAATAAGTACTCTCTCATAACAGTATTTTGTTCTCTTCCATCAAATGCATTCTACTAAAACCAATACTTTGAAACTTTTTTGTATCTTTATTTTTTCTAACAAAGCCTACCTCAATTTCTTCATCAGCCAACTGAGTGTACCTTATGTGAAAGTAAGAGTATCTCTGTCTTTTGTGTGAAATATTTTCCCCTGGCATATCTCTCTGTATATTCAACTTTTGATGCAGGGAGAGACCCAGGAAGGGTTTATCCGTCAGCTGTTGCCCAAGGTCGGATTACCTCCTCGGGTCAACATCCAGATTTTCGGACACTCAGGGGTTGGCAAGTCCACCCTTGTAGAGACACTCAAGACTGGTTACTTCAGCAGTTTCTTCCGCAGAAGCAGACCTCTTGTCAGCAACAATACAAACTGTAAGTGAAAACGTTATTTTTGTTATTTGTTATATTCATTTTTGTCACCTAATGAGATTAAATGTAATTTTTTTTTAGAATATTCCCAACTGGTACAATAGTTACCCTTTTGCTCTCGACTTTAATATTATTCACAGTACCATATATTAGTGTTTTTTTTTTATATTTCATTTACTGTAGACTGATAAATCTTTTGCATTGACTTCAAAAAAGTACCTGTGCACAGTTATATTATGTTCTAAATTAATGTGTACTTTCAAATAGCGGTGGTTAGAAAAATGTGTGTGAATTAAATGTTTAACTTCTTTTAGGTTTGTTGGTTGTACCTGTTTAGGAGCAGATTAAAATGTATTGCTAAAATAAAACATTAGTGAGAATTTTTATCTTGAATCAACTGTTAAATATAGCTATCTGTGTTACTAGTCTGCGAAGTTACCCTTGTGAGAAAAGTTTCTTGAGTGCAGCAAAGGCACCTTGCGCTCGTGTTATTTTCCTTTTGCTACTATAAAGCATAGAAATAATTAGTCTTTCAAACACATAAATAACACGTTTTAGGTTGGGTTAAATCCAAGCGTTGAACAAAATATGAAACACTGCACCAGCTGATCGTAGTTAGTTGTAGTATCTTTAAGTGTTGCCGACTTATTTTCAAGCATACACACCTAATTAATGCACATTTTTTTGAGTTTTTTGGTTGGAATACTGGAGTTTGGCAAAAATAAAATGAGTGCGGCAAAAGTAAGTAAATGCAGCAATTAGCTACTTTGCGTGGTACAATCAGTACAAGAAAGCCTGCTTTGTCAGGTAACTGTAAGAAAAAATAATTTCTAAACTCGAATCTGACATCTTCTAACTATTCTGGTCGAGTTGCAAAGCCCTCACATAAGCTGATGACACTACAGATGAAGACAAGTTGATTCATATTTCTTCTAATATTTTTAAGAGAACAGCTATACCGACTCCAAGTCACAAATTGTCCAGTAACCGATTGCTATAACATGGCTTTGTGAACATCCTTCTCATTAGGTAAACAAATCAGAAAGTATTTTTTGCACTAACCAACTTGTTCTTTTATCAGCCATGCCTGCTTCACCAAACAAGATGCATATTGAGATGGATCTAACATCAAGACGCAACTCTCTCAACTTTGACCTGTACAACTTCCAGTACACGAGGGGCGTAGATGTTCAACAGGTACACATACCGTACTGATGTTTTTATAAATAATGTTAGTCCAGAGTCTAATAGATACACAAATAAAATATCCCAAAACAACTGCTTTCAGCCTACATTGGATTTTTAATGTGCTTTTTGTTACTCAGTTATTAGTGAAAGCACTGTAAATAGGTTAGGTTATATTATATTAACAGTTACTTTCCAACCTAACCTTAATGTATCCATATTAGTTTCATGGAGTATGTAATGTATTAGAGTAGATTTTTTTTATTTGTGTTTTTACTGTGTCAATAGCAAAGTATTATGAATTCAACAAATCATTTTGTTGCCTCTTAATTGATTTTTCAAAGGCTTATGACTCCATAAATAGAAAGAAGTTGTGGATAAACATGGAGCATCTAGGTATACCAAGAAAACTTATAGAACTAGCAAAATTGAGTGTTTTAGGCTCTAAGTGCAAAGTTAGGGTAAATGGAGACGTATCGGAAGACTTTGAGGTGAACACGGGTGTGAGGCAGGGAGACGGGGTATCTCCATTGCTGTTCAATTTAGCCATAGAAACAGCCCTTCAGGAGATAAGAAAGACAGAAGTAGGGATTAAGATAGGAACAAACATAAACTTGCTAGCTTTTGCAGATGACATAGTATTAATTACACATAATATAGAAGAAATGAAATATGTAACAAAAATGCTTATTGAACATACAAGAAAAATGGGGCTATACATAAATGAAGAGAAAACTAAGTTTATGACATGTGGAAGAAAACAAGATGATGATCAACCAAGATACCAAAATAACAACTACATTGAAATTGAAGAGTATAAATTTAAAATAGTAACAAATTTCAAGTATTTGGGAGTCGTCCTCACCAGCGATAATGATGAAGAGCTAGAAATACAAAATAGATTAAACCTAGCACAAAAAAGCTTTTCGGCCTATCACAAGTTACTAACTTCAAAAATAATATCCCACACCACCAAACTCAGGATTTATAAGACAATCATCAGACCAGTTCTCCTGTATGGTTCAGAAAATTGGATCTTAAGCAAGAAATCAGAAAGGAAAGCTATTGTATTTGAGAACAAGATTTTGAGGAAAGTGTACGGACCGATTTTTGAGGATGGACAATGGAGATCGAGACATAATTGGGAACTTAGAGAATTATTTAAGGATCCGGATATTGTCGCTGAGGTACGGAGCAGAAGACTGAGATGGGCAGGGCATATTCTAAGAAAAGATGACAACTCCCTATCAAAGAACATCTTGAGGAATAACCCAGAAGGTAGAAGACCCCTTGGAAGACCGAAACTTAGATGGTTCGACCAAGTGGAGAAAGACCTGAGGAAGCTAGGGAGAAGGAAGGAAGATGCAAGAAGCAGAGACCTATGGAGGCAGTGTGTTGGGGAGGCCAAGTACCATCTAGGGTACCAGTGGCCACAGCAGTAAGTAAGTAAGTGTTTTTACTCTTTGGTTATAATGCCATAGTACAAGCACTTTAAACAACAACAAACTGTCTAAATAAAGTGGATGTTAATTTGTTTTCTGTTGATCCGTAATGAGGATGAATCTACAAGGAGTATGTTTGATTTTAACTTACAGGTGAGTTTATCAGGCGCAGGGGACGTTACTCTCTGGGACTTCTCAGGACAGGACATGTACTTCTGTGTGTACCACCACCTGCTCACCACATCTGCCAAGAACGCAGTGTTCCTCGTAGTGTTCAGCCTCAAGGACCCTCCCAACACTCAGCTGCGGCAGTGTCACTTCTGGCTGACGTTCCTGCAGGCCCGCATCCCTCCTACAGAACCTCTAGGTAACTTCAGTAAAAAACATCCCTATTTTTTTATAGTCTAGTTGTTATTTTAAAATAAAAATTCAAAAACAAATATCTATGCACCGAATTTTTTTTATCTTTCCACATCCCACTCTCATAACTGTATTTTTTGTTTAGGAACCAACGGAATCAGTGGCAACATGCCCAGGGTGATTTTAGTGGCTACACATGCAGACACGTCACAAACACTGCGCGACCAGAGTGGCCATTATGTGAGCGAACAGGCAAACAGTGTTTGTGTGACGCTGCGGCAACACTACGCGACGACTTTCCACATCAATCGCCGCGTCGTAGTTGTGGACTCCCACCAAGCACTCAGTCCTGGTATACGACTACTTAAATCCCTGGTGCAAACCGAGCGAACGAGCATTGCACAGGTATTTAAAGCTTTACTATGTTCTATGCAATACAGGTTTAGCTATTCTTTTTCTATAGTCAAATGTTTGCATGGGATGGAAGGCAAAGTTAACAAGGGACAGAAACTTGTGATTGCCTTTAAGCTGAGGTCATTTGTTGATTGCATTATATAGGTCTGTGTTATTTGTTTTAGTTTGTTAAACTATCACCAATGTTATGCCTATTCCAAAATCTTTGTTTATCCCAGATATGAAACCATTTAAAGTTTAAACCTCGTATAAGTGTGTCACCCTCTGTGCTGAAGAATGTTGAGTTTGTACCAATAAGGCAGATAAGTTACTGATTTAGTTCAAAATCAAGGAAGAAATCAATGGATACTAACTAACCTAAGAAAAGAGTTCCAGGCAAATAAAACAACACATAAACTCACAACACAACTTTATACATCACCTCTTTAAGGGTACATCTTTAGAAGGAAGTAGATCATAAAATTAATTGTGTTGTGAACTCTTTGTGCACTATCAACTGCCTAGAACTCTTTCCTTGGGTAAATTAGTTGTTTATCCATTACTTCTTTCTTAGACTTCCTAAGCCACGTGTTCTCTCCTCCAAAAAAAAAAATCTGTTAAAATTACTTGTTTTTAACCTCTACTTTACATACTAATCTCAAATGTGGAGGAACATCATGAACCCTTTTTCTTAACTCCACTTTTTAACACTTAAAAATTTATTTTATGAAACAGGCAAACTTTGTCAGAAAGTAGAACCAGGTAGCTACTTGGTCAATAGTTACTTTAGTTAAGTAAATGTTGGTTGTGGTGTCAGGTGAGGGAACGGACCAATAGTATGACCGAAGTGAGACGTTCAGTCAACGGATATAACCTCCTGACCGAGTCCCCTCTCAGACTAAAGCGTCAGGTACAGCTTCCCTGCAGCCAGACCACTGTAAAACTTGCCTAGTTGTGTGAATAGTTTGCTGACTTAATTGCTCTCCTTGGATTTCATAGGAGAACGAGTAAATTATTATTAATTAATCAATTGCAAGAACCCATTATTGCCCCTGAACTGTATTAATTAAACATTAGTGATGTTTTGTTACTTATCTTAATCAACTGTTCATTAACATGATAATTTCCCACAACATGTTTTGCTACAGCTGTTGCTTACAGCTGTATTGTACATCTTCAGCTAACTAATTTGTCCGAGTGAGGAAAGCGGTTACAAGGTAGCCATGTTCGATGACAATAGGTTCCAAAAGTCACTCACTGTTAATATACAGTAAACATTCTTGTAATCAGAAGAAACAATATACCAAACCAAGTTTTAAAAGTGTCGTTTCCCAGTTCAAATTTTGACAAACATTCCAAGCTAAGCAATATCATAGAAAACTCTCCCAAAACACAATTAACAAATTGTGCCATATACACAATATGCATACATCCCCACTGCCAGATATTACAAACCAGCCATTAAAAAGTCCAGTTCCCACTCCATAATATATTTCAGAATTGAAATACACTACTCCCCACCTCCCATTTATCAGTGCTGAAGCATTACTATGTGTGCTAGCCTATGTATCAGTAGCCTAATTTTGTTACAATTAAATCATTGTAGTTAAAACTTGTCCAGCGGTCTATTTTCCTGAATTTCACTAGAATGTTGTACTCTGTTCAACTTTAGTGTTGTGTGAGTTACTTTATGTGAAATGCCAAGTGTTAAAGGGATAGATGCATAAGGTAGTTTTAGTTTTGTCATCCAACAAATGTGTATCAATCAATCAATCAATCAAAATAACTTCATTCATATTGCACATTTTGTACAGAATGGAGTCAGTTATAAAAACACAATATTAAACTTAAGACTACTTACAGAGAATATTGTCACTATCAAAAGAATCTAATTTCAGGAAGTTGGAAAAAATCTTCTAATTTATACAAGGGTCTGTTGGTGAGAAGTATAAAACGGTTTGTATATTTAGGAAAATATAATATCCATTCAAGAGGATATTTTTTAAGTGTGCAAATATTTCCATAAGGAAATAAATTAAAATCATTTTAGTTTTTCCAAATAGTTAATGTTTCTCAAGTAAATACTTTAGTCTCAAATACAATCCTTTTCTATTGGGTTTTAGTCAACATTTCAGCCTATTTTACTTAAAATCTTGTTCATTTCAGTACTTTTCTCCCTTTAAACAAAGCTGAAATTCTCACTGCCTACCCTTTAGGAAATTCAAACTTTTGTAATGAAAGAAATATTAATGTTTCAAAATAAAAATTATAGTAACACAACGTGGTACTGGCTGTAGGGAGAGTGCAGGGATATTTGATGTTAAAGATTCACAGTTGGCAGCACTTCGTGGACTCACTGTATGGCTCTAGCCAATCACTGTTGTCACAAAATGTTTGTTGTAGAGTTAGAATGTGCAATGTGATTCTTGAATGAAAGTCCCTTCAACTGTACTTGAAAAATGTGTTTTGTCAATGAAAAAGAGTTGTATAACTTGCTGGTGAAATATATTGTAATGTCCTCCTATCTTTAGTACTTCTTTATATTATTTCAATTACTTTGTGTTTGTTAAATAATCCGATTTCATTTGAAGACTTTGAAGTTCACTTGAATTGATGTTGTACTGCACTTGTCCACTCCTGTAGTTTTTAGCTGATTATTTGTATTATTTACAGTTTGAAATTATAGTTTACAGTGAAATTCCGAGTGTAAATAGTAAACCCAAGTAGAAAACTAACGAATTATTGTTTTTTTTTATACCAACTTATTTAATTATTGGCTATGGTATATTTTACTATTTTTGTTGCAATATTTGGTGAGAAATTAAATATAACTTTGTACTTAAAAGTAAGGATGAATTATTTATTGTGGTTAAACTCCAAATTGGATTTACCTAGTAAAAAGTTGGTCCTATATAAAGTTAAAAGGTACGAGTTAAAACATAGTCTACTCGACATAATGTAACCGTAAATAAAAAGAACAAGGGAACGTTCTAGAAATCAGCCTACTAAACTGTATGTTCATAATCATAATTTTTTGGATCTTGAAAACCATTGTAAAAGACCATAAAAGACATAATGACAAAATCAAGAACATAGAACATGTTTTGCTTAGATTTATCATCAAGTTTTTTACAGGTTATAAAAAACGTAACAGAAACTAAATTACATAATTTACTTTGAAATGAAAATCAAAAGAACCTAATCAGATTTATATGTATAAAAAATAGATTGCAAATATCAAGAACCATTAAATCCCCATTGTAAAATAATATACACGTTTGATTTGTAAATAAATATGAATGTTTACAGGGTTGACTTGAAAAATACATATTGGTTTAGCTAGTTTTGTAGTATAAACTCAATCAGGTACTTTCTTCCAACATTTTAATATACAGTACCACAATATTAGTCATTCAGAAGGGTGTAAACAATAAATCAGAGCATTAGGAGACACCAATTACATCAGTTAAGGAACCATTATAAACCTTAGCGACGTTAAATACCTTTTTACGTTGAAATTAAAGAAATAATTCTTTTTTAGTTATTGAAAATCAAGTAGCGATGTTGTTCTGGTGCCGCCGCTAATATTTATTAGTACTGTTCATTCTTTTACTGTTTTGGCTCACACCTTGCTGTGACAATATGTTATATGGACAGACCTAAGGCCCATGTGGAGACAATATCAAGTATAAAGTAGTTGCCAACCTCTTTGAAAAGTACAATACAAACAAAAGAAAAGTTTTTTATTACATTTTTTAATGTCTTGTACTCTATTGACCAGCTGACTGTGTGCAGGGTGTTCCACAAATGACAGGGTTCTGTGAGGCTGTGCGCAGCTGGCTACCGACCTTGCGCAAGTCCGCGCAGAGTTTCCCGGTTGTGTCGTGGGATAGCTTCGTAGACGCTGTCCGAGCACAAGTCAACCCTCTGGCTGACTCACAGCACTTCAGTGAACTGCTGACTCAACTACAACACATGGGCGAGGTAGGGCTGTCATGAGACACAATTGGCCTACATATTGGCCTTGTAGTAACTCTAAAAGTGATAATTAACTGATAGGGTTTCGATAGTCGCTCGATGTTGAACCATTTTCAATGGGTAAGAAGGAAATCAACCTCCCCTGAATTTGAATCACCTTGTACTTGTATGATATTGTTGGATGGAAACAGACCAGTTTTGTTTCAAATATTAACACTTACACCTATTTGAAATTTATCACAAATTTTAATTTTGGCCCTACTTATCGAAAGTATTCTTAGGAAAGGGCTCTAGGCCAAAATAGGTTTTATTTTTTTATTGAAAGGAAGAGCAGGCTTACCTAAACAGTGGGTTGTAGTTTTCTCAATAGGAAACATGTTTATATTCACACACAAAATTGAAATATTTCATGGTCACTGCATGGCTACTACATGGTCACAAAGAAAGTAATATTGCAATGGTCAATTGCACTATTTGGCACTATTAGACCATTGTAATCCTCTTTAATTCCCATGGAGGTAGAGGCATTGAATTTTGTATTCTCAAGTAGTGATCCCATTCATTTGGATTAGCTGTACTATTTTTTGTCAAAAAAGAACGTATTTGAATGAGCTACTGACAGAGTACTGTACTCTCTATTCTTTTTTCTCCTTTGGGTTTTGTGATTGAGATAGTTAATGTGACATAAAGATGCTATAGCTCAAAAAGTCGCCCTATCAGTTTGACATTGGCGCATTCAACAGAAATCAGTAAGTTATATCAGCACACTCTGTCGGCGACTTTATCAACTGTGCCCATTTTGATTCTAAAAGTCAAAAACTGACAACAGTTTTTACTTAAGGGTGGAATGTATAGTTCTATAGTCAGTTGTTAGTTTTTCATCTACGGTGTATTGCCACCAGGTGGTGTATCTCAAGTCCTGCCTACACCCAGATCTGCTGGTGTTGTCTCCACAATGGCTATGTGGGCCGGTGCTAGGACAACTTCTGTCCATAGACTTTGTCGCCCACGCTCGTATCACAGGCTGCTACACAGTGGAGGACTTCCAGTCGGCCTTCCCTCAAACTGACGCACTCGCACTACTGCAGGTCCTTGAAACTCTACAGCTCTGCATACAGGTTGGCTGGGTCCTCATTAATTTCTATTTGAAATTAATTTTTCAGAATGAGTACTTGGTAAGCAATTACAGTAGAAGCTCACTAGTCCAACCTTGGCTAGTCCGACTACTCGCTTTATCTGACCGTGCCATTGTCTATCGGTTACAATTCTATTGTGATAATATCTTAACCACTTCCCATAGTCCTTTGGACATCATCACTGTCTCCTGCAATGGCTGCAGAAATCGTTTTATCATTCGCGGTAACTGAAACATGATTATCATTTTTGCGATCGTGGCAAATCTTATACGAATACTGTGCTAATGGAAGAAACCATCATCGTCTTCGACGATCGCAGCAAAATATTTAACATCTCCCGATCTCGCTCCGATTAGGGGTCATTATCATCATCGTCTCCTGAGTTCCCAGAAACGTTATCGTTGTTATCTGTGATAGCAGCAAACTCCTTAAATATCTCTTGTGCTTAACATAAAATCACTATCGTCTCCCGTAATTGTGTTGGACAACATAAGGCCTATCATTGTTTTCCGCAATGGCGGCAAAATCCTGAACTGCTGCTCCTTGGATAATACGGCCTTCTCACTGTTCCGACCATAGTCCTTGTCTCGTAGGTAATGGAGTAGTGGGATTGTGCTGTAAACAAGTGTGTTGTGCTCTAACCATTGACTTTTGAATACTTAAGTTCACACTCCATTGATGTGATCCATGTGAATACTATGTGTTATATATTATCTATCTGTCATACTGATCAAATTAGGAATATGCATTGTTTTTAGCTTGTATCCGCCATTGTTTCACATTCATAAACAGATTGGCTCAGGGGCCAGAATAAAAATTAATCCATTTTGATTTATGGACCATTTGTAGCCAACTGCTGAATGAACCATTCATAAAGTCTACATTTATCGTCTGATATTTACAGTGTGATGTGGATGGAGAGCCGGAGTATGAGTTCCCATGCTACAACCTGGTGGAGACTCTGGAAGGTCTATGGGAGGAACACGACCCAAGATATAAACAAGCTGTGTACGGAGGTGTCAGGCTACACACGCCTGAGGGAACCATGCATCTGCTACACTCTGTCTTCCCTAGGATCCAGGTGAGTAAACCATGCATCTATGCACTCTGTCTTCCCTAGGATCCAGGTGAGTAAAACATGCATCTATGCACTCTGTCTTCCTTAGGATACAGGTGAGTAAACCATGCATCTACGGCACTCTGTCTTTCCTAGGATCCAGGTGAGTAAACCATGCATCTACGGCACTCTGTCTTTCCTAGGATCCAGGTGAGTAAACCATGCATCTATGCATTCTGTCTTCCTTAGGATACAGGTGAGTAAACCAGGAATCTACGGCACTCTGTCTTCCCTAGGGTATAGGTGAGTAAACCATGCATCTGCTACACTCTGTCTTCCCTAGGATCCAGGTGAGTAAACCATGCATCTATGCACTCTGTCTTCCCTAGGATCCAGGTGAGTAAAACATGCATCTATGCACTCTGTCTTCCTTAGGATACAGGTGAGTAAACCAGGAATCTACGGCACTCTGTCTTCCCTAGGGTATAGGTGAGTAAACCATGCATCTATGCACTCTGTCTTCCTTAGGGTACAAGTGAGTAAACCATGCATCTATGCACTCTGTCTTCCCTAGGATCCAGGTGAGTAAACCATGCATCTATGCACTCTGTCTTCCCTAGGATCCAGGTGAGTAAACCATGCATCTATGCATTCTGTCTTCCCTAGGATCCAGGTGAGTAAACCATGCATCTATGCACTCTGTCTTCCCTAGGATCCAGGTGAGTAAACCATGCATCTATGCATTCTGTCTTCCCTAGGATCCAGGTGAGTAAACCATGCATCTACGGCACTCTGTCTTCCCTAGGATCCAGGTGAGTAAACCATGCATCTATGCATTCTGTCTTCCCTAGGATCCAGGTGAGTAAACCATGCATCTACGGCACTCTGTCTTCCCTAGGATCCAGGTGAGTAAACCATGCATCTATGCACTCTGTCTTCCCTAGGATCCAGGTGAGTAAACCATGCATCTATGCACTCTGTCTTTCCTAGGATCCAGGTGAGTAAACCATGCATCTATGCACTCTGTCTTCCCTAGGATCCAGGTGAGTAAACCATGCATCTATGCACTCTGTCTTCCCTAGGGTACAGGTGAGTAAACCATGCATACATATACTGCACTCTGCCTACAAAAGTATTTTTACAAACCGCATAACCTGAACAAAATCATACCACGGTAACACCCTTGAGCATAACCTACAGTCTCCACAACCACGGCAACACCCGTGAGCATGACTCCCGCGACCACGGCAACACCCTTAAGCATGACTCCCGCGACCACAGCAACACCCTTGAGCATGACTCCCGCAACCACGGCAACATCCTTGAGCATAACCTACAGTCTCCACGACCACGGCAACACCCTTGAGCATAACCTGCAGTCTCCGTTAATTTGGTAATTTTTTTCTGTGACCACAACAACACCCGTGACTCTAACTTGCAGTCTGCGTGACTTCGTTAATCGTCTCATTTTATATTCTTAAACTCGCCTTGTGCTCGCTGGGGGCTCCGCCCCCAGGCCCCCTTTTAATAGTAGCCGTGATGAGAAATGTTCACGGGGGACAGGATGTTGTCCGGAAACATTTTTGCTTTTTGCGTAAAAGCCGTAGTGATAACTTGGCAGTTGTGAAGTAGAGGGGTTGTTTAGTACAAACCAAACCAGTCTTGACATGTTAGAGTCTCGATGTAGCCCCGGTGCTATGATAAATTAAATTTGCTAAGTCACAACCTCTAAAACACTCTTAACATCAATAAGCATCGATATAAAGTTTTAGGAGTTCGAGTGAGGTAAAATAATATTTAAAATAATCTTAGGCCCCCTTCGGGGGCGGGGGGTTGGTGAAAATTATCGGCATGAAGAATGGACCACTTGCGCAGTAAAATTCACGAAAAATAAGGAAAATATGGTAAAATTTCAGGTTAAAAAACGAATTTGGGGTGGAGATGGGAAAAAAATTAAACTAAACGCATGGCTCAATCAAATCCTGGTTAAAGTTCGTTCGCTACGCTCACTCACTTTTAGGTTGGAGCTCGTTCGCTGCGCTCACTTGCCTTTAGGTTAGCTCGTTCGCTACGCTCACTCACCTTTTGGTTGCAAATTAGCTATTGTCATAATAGTAACAAAAACTACATTTCGGGACTTTCTGGGTGGTTTGGTACCCAGACAAACCTTTAAAAAATTTCAGCTCCGTAGCTACTCTAGAAGTGACAAAAGTGTTTTTTCTGTCACCAAACGCCCATATTTCACCTACTGACGTTTACGTCTAGTTTGCCTGTCGACACGTGCTAATTCTCCATAAGAAAATGCTTTGATTGGAAATCCGCCATTTTGAATTTTTTTGTGGGTTAAAATTATTAAAGGTCATTCTAGGGTCTTTCCTTTCAACGTTGGGAGCATAAAAAGTAGAAATATATATACGAAAAGTCGTTTTAAAAATTAAAAACACGTAAAAAAATAGATGATTTTTCACAATTTTTGGAGTTAGAGCGTTTTTTGAAGGTGAAGGAGTGCGAATTTCGATATGACGCCTTCTCTGACAAAACTGTCTTGTAGAAAATTTAATTTCGAACTCACGATTTTTCCTCAAATCGATTCTAGCTCTTACGGTTTTCGAGCTAGAGCCGTTTTAAAAAACATGTTTTTCCGAAAACCGAAATTTTTATGGAATTTTTTTTGGGGGGTAGAATTTTGAAAACGGGTTTTTTACGAATTTCACCGGTAATTTAAGATGCCATAGTACAATACTACGCAAATTCCAAGCCTCTAGCACGTTTCTAAACGTTTCAGATGAGCGTACGAAAATCGGTGTTTTTCAACGTTATTTCCCATAAGAATAACATGGGGGGAAATTGTTAATTTAGGGGAGGTTGAAAGGGGAAAATGCGACTTTTCGGGATTTTCCCGGGGGTTTGGGCACTAGACCTACAAAACGCCGAAAATTTCAAGTCTCTAGCACGTCTAGAAGTGGTCTAGAATTAGTATACCTGATCAGTTACACATGCGGCTGTACCTATTTTTACCCCATAAAACCCCCCGTAAACCCCCGTTCTCAAAGTCCGATCATGCTGGTTCGCGAACTCGTTCAAGTTTATCCCGCCTTACACCTTCATACCAAATTTGATCAAAATCGGACAAAAATTACTCAAGTTATCGTGCGGATGGACACAAATATATATATATAAAAAAATTGAACGAATGGTGTTTTTGGCCTCTGGGGACATCAAAATGAAAAAGTAAATCGGTCCCGGGCCTAGGTCTTACCATGAGACCTACGGTAATAGCTACTTCCCTATAGGGAAATTCGCTAATAGTATACTTTTATTATAAACGTTATTATTATTGCCACTTGTACAGTTTCTGCAAGAGGGGTTACGGAGGGTGGGTGACTTAAACAACGACTTTCAACTTGGTTGTAATTAAAAAAACTACCGTTTCACAACATTAAACATACACAAATCAAAAATATCTAGATCGACAAGAAACAGTTTTACATGAGATTTGAGTTTTTTTTTTTTTAGAGGGATGTTGTAGGTTTGGGGGTGTATAAGATGAGATTGGCCTCTTTTTTATTTTTCAAATGACTTACGACCATGAATAACTTACTAATTCTTACTTTGCCTAAGACGACAACAATAGGATCACTGACGGACAGGTAATATAAACCATTTAATACTTACTAAGACCTTAATATGCTTGAAATGCCATTTTATTGCCCACATGCTAATTCTCTTTTTTATTAACATGGGGGATATTTTAAACCATGGGGGGTTTAAAATGAAACAATAACGATTTTAATAATATTTAAGGTAATTTGGACCGAATACCAACACCGCTAAAAATTTAAATGTTCAAGCGCTAATGTGTGGGTAAGTGGGCTTATTCCTAAATTCCAAGGACACAACTATCGAAATGGGGTTATTTGAGGGGGTTGGAGTATAGATAGGTAAAAGGCGCTATGGAACAAAATGTACACCATAAAATTTTGTATACAAAAAATTTGTTTGCTTATATATAATCTTGCGTTTATATAATTTTTAATTGACGAGAATCATCAAAATCGGGATTTTTTATTTTAACTAAAATTATCCCCCCAATTTTGAGGGTTAAGTAGGGTGAGTTAAAATTCCGAAATCGGTTAAGGATGAACTTAAGGCATATTTAAAAACAAGTAATGGGTCAAACATACCCAAAACGTATTTTAACCTACTCCAGGGCAGCCAACCCCCCAAAAAACAAGGAGAAATGGCAAAATTTCAAGTTTAAGCATGAATTTGGGGGTGAAGGAGTGAAGATGGAAAAAAATGTTAAATTACCAAGTTGTAGATCGTCAAAAGTAAAGATACATAGGTAGGTGCTATCCGTTTCTTGATCAGACCTACGGTTGAGCCGCAACGGACGTTTGAACAAAAAAACATGATGAAAAATTCAAAAATGTTGTGTTTAGAGTGAAATATAGGGGGGAAGGGGTGGAGATAGAAAGAAACTTTACATTATAAAATTGTAGCTCGTTTAGTTCTAAATACAGTAAGTGTGCTCCGTTTTTTGATTAGACCAACGGTTTAAGCACAATAAACGTTTTAAAAAAACACCTTTTTCGTACTTTTCAAAAATCCGCCATTTTGAATTTTTTTTGAGGGGTTAAAATAGGAAAGTGTTACTTTTTGAAGTTTTGTGGGTGGTTTAGGACCAAGACCTATAATCGTGCCAAATTTCAGGTCCCTAGCTCTTCTAGAAGTATGTTAGAATTTGTATACCTGATCAGTCAGTCAGTCAGTCAGTGAGTTACACATGCGGCTGTATATTTAATTAGATTCGCCTTTGGCTCGCCCCTAGCTGATAGTCGTCATTAGTAGATTAGAGTTGTAACAAAGCAGGCAGTGAAACAGTCAATATAACGTTATATAAAAACAATTTCACGAATACAGTAGAGGAGGTTGGCAAGTTAATTTCAAGAACTCCACCTTAAAGAACCCCTTATAAAAAATCTGTTTAAAAGTTGCGGTAAGAGAGTATGTTAGTAAAGTATTTTTACAACTGAGTTTTTGGCCAAAGAAGGCGAATGGGGATCGTTATAGTGGAAATCGATATTAAATTAAACACGATTTAACAACTATATTAGAATAGATCGATATTTTAAAAGTTGATATCAGTTAAGTGATGTATGAAGTACACGATTTAACAACTATATTAGAATAGATCGATATTTAATAAGTTGATATAAGTTAAGTGATGTATGAAGTAAAAAGGTGATAGTAAGTTTTAAAATGTCTTTTTTGAAATTTAGGAAGGGGTGAGAAGCAATCACCAAGAAGCCGGGAAATTTCAAGTCCATAGCACACCTAGAAGTGGTCTAGATAGCACTCATAGTATTTCTCAAGTCTCGGTCAAATTTGAAGTAAACGGTTCTAATGTCCATACCGAAGTTAGAAACTTCCCATAAAAATTACATAATGGGAGGGAGAAATTGTTGAATCGGGGAAGGGGGAAAATCATTGGAAAATGTAACTTTTGGGAATGTTCTAGGTTGTTAGGGACTAAGACCAACAATCCTACCAAATTTCATATCTCCAGCTAATGTTAAAGTGTGTACACGTGATTTAGACCGATGTACCTGTATAATTAACATTAGGGAAGTCGACTATCAGGAGGGGGTCATGAAAAACGTGGGAAAAGTAGTGAAAATCGTAAACAAATTTATACAAATTTACCTAATATTGAAAGTAGGGCGTTTTTTGAAGAGTTTTCGAGCTATAGCTGTTTGAAAAAAAACGTGTTTTGTCGTTTTCAGAGGTTCGCCATTTAGGATTTTTTTAGGGGTAAAAATTTGAAAATGGGACTTTTGCAAAATTCACCGTTAATGTAACATACCATACTGCAATACTATTAATTTTCAAGTCTCTAGCACGTTTCTAAACGGTTGAGATGAGCACACCAAAGTCTTTAAATTTCATAGCTATTCTCCATAAGAATAACGTGGGGCTCGTAAAAGTGGTAAAAAACCTACAAAGTTTAACATTAAACCTAAGTTTTAGGGGTTAAGGAGTAAAGTTACGAAAAAGAATGTAATGAGTAAAATTTAAAGTAAACTAAGCAGGATACAAAGCAATAATAATATTTGCAAAAAATAATTATTTAGGTACGAAAAAATAGTGAAAACCGTTAAACATTTTTAAAAAATTTACCAAATTTTGAAATCAGGGCGTTTTTTGAAGCTGAAGGAGTGCGATTTTCGGAAAACGCTGAAGAGGGTTTTGTGGAAAATTTAATTCTCGTTCATGAAAATTCTTTCAAATCCTTTCTAGCTCTTATCGTTTTCAAGCTATAGCCCTTTGAAAAAACGTGTTTTCTCGTTTTCCCTTTTTTGGTTGGGGGTAAGTGGGAATGTTCCTCGGGGGACAGGATTTTGTTTGTGAATATTTTTTGCTTTTAAAACTTATAACTTTACATCTGCTAGGTAATTCATAAAGAGGGCGGGGGGTTGGAAAAATTATCGGCATGAAGAATGGACCCCTTGCGCAGTAAAAATCACCAAAAATAGGAAAAATAAGGTAAAATTTCAGGTTTAAACACGAATTTGGGGTGGAGATGGGAAAACAATTAAACTAAACGCATGGCTCAATCAAATCCTGGTTGAAGTTCGTTCGCTACGCTCACTCACCTTTAGGTTAGAGCTCGTTCGCTGCGCTCACTTGCCTTCAGGTTAGCTCGTTCGCTACGCTCACTCACCTGTAGGTTGGAGCTCGTTCGCTACGCTCACTCACCTTTAGGTTGGAGCTCGTTCGCTGCGCTCACTTGCCTTTGGGTTAGCTTGTTCGCTACGCTCACTCACCTTTTGGTTGCAAATTAGCTATTGTCATAAATTTAGAAAAATTATAGTACTGCACCCTGTTGCTAATGGTAAAATTTTATTAATGGGGATCAAAGAGAGGGGGGGGGGTTAGAATGGGATTGGTCTAAATATCCATAATTCACCTACTTACATTTAGATCTCGTTTGCGTGTATAAGCATGTTAATTTTCTATAAGGAATACGTTAAAAAAGCGTTTAAAACTATATTTTTGATTGAAAATCCGCCATTTTTTATTTTTTTTAGTACGTTGAAATTATAGAAGGTCACTCAAGGGACTTTCTTTTTAACGTTGGGACCATAAAAGTACAAATATATGTACGAGAAGTCATTTTAAAAATTAAAAACACTTAAAAAATCAAGAATTTTTACAATTTTTGGAAGTAGAGCGCTTTTTGAAGGTGAAGGAGTAAGATTTTCGATATGACCCCTTCTTCGAGAAAAGTGTCTTGTAGAAAATTTAATTCTGAACCTACGATTTTCCCTCAAATCGTTTCTAGCTCTTACCGTTTTCGAGCTACAGCAGTTATAAAAAAACGTGTTTTTCCCAAAAAAACTAGGGTTTTAAGGGATTTATTTTGGTGGGTTTCGGTTGAAAAAACTAAATTTTGGGACTTTCTGTGTGGTTTGGTACCCAGACAAACCTTCAGAAAAAATTTCAGCTCCGTAGCTACTCTAGAAGTGACAAAAATGTTTTTTTCTGATGCCAAACGCCCATATTTCACCTACTGACGTTTACTTCTAGTTTGCTTGTCGTAGCATGTTAATTCTCCATAAGGAATACGTTAAAAAACGATCTTTTTCATAGAAAATCTGCCATTTTGAATTTTTTTTAGTAAGTTAAAATTATAGAATTTCACTTGAGGGACTTTCCTTTTAATGTTGGGAGCATAAAAAGTACAAATATACGAACGAAAAGTCGTTTTAAAAATTAAAAACACGTAAAAAAATCGAGCATTTTCACAATTTTTGGAAGTAGGGCGTTTTTTGAAGGTGAAGGAGTGCGATTTTTGAAAAACGCTTACTAGTGTCTTGTAGAAAATTTCATTCCCAACTCACGATTTTTCCTCAAATCGATTCTAGCTCTTACCGTTTTCGAGCTACAGCCGTTTAAAAAAAACGTGTTTTTTCAAAAACCGGGATTTTAATGGAATTTTTTTTGGGGGGGGATGAATTTTGAAAATGGGGTTTTTACGAATTTCAACGGTAACATAAGATCCCATAGTGCAATACTCCGCAAATTCCAAGTCTCTAGCACGTTTATAAACGGTTCAGATGAGCGTACGAAAGTCGGTATTTTTCAATGTTATTTCCCATAAGAATAACATGGGGGGTAAAATTGTTAATTTAGGGGGGGTTGAAAGGGAAAAATGCTACTTTTCGGAATTTTCCCGGGGGTTTGGGCACTAGACCTACAAAACGCCGAAAATTTCAAGTCTCTAGCTCATCTAGAAGTGGTTTAGAATTCGTATACCTGATCAGTGAGTTACACATCGGGCTGTATAGTTAATTAGATAAAAGGGACTTAAAAATTCATGGACCCTTGTATGACTAATCTATGAGGTGCTTGTGATTGTTTGCAACAGTTGTGTGTTCTAACTATTTCTTTACAGGTCCAGTTACGGAGGACCGTGATGAACTATTGTGACTCGGAGACGGATCTGTACCAGTGGTTCCACGGGTCCAAGTTGTGCTCAGGACTGATAGAGAGTCTAGTGACTCTGGAGACATCGTCACACACGAGTCACTCCGAGTGGATAGAGATCAAAGTCCGAGGACCTCCGCATACAGCTCCAGTCTGCTTCTTCTTCATCGAGGAGATACTCGACATTATTGATCTGGTATGAATTTCTCACGGTTAAGTCATGTATACAATAGAAAATTTTAGCATGTAATATTCATTAAACTGCATTCAGTTTTAATTGAATTTATTTTATTTTTTATTTTTAGTATAAAAACAAAGAGTATATCTACTAAACTAACTATCCTCAGATGAAAGTATAACTCTCAATTGCCTAAGATTTTATTGGGTTAAACAGTATTTAAACATTTGCGTCCCAAAAATATATGATCTTGTCAATGATACCTCTGTTTTTAACTCAATTCAATTAGTTTATTTATGGCATAAAACAGTTTACAATATGAAGACTTAATTTAGTTCAAGCATTTTTTGCAATTTACATGATAACAGGTGTATACAAGCAACAAGCAGGTATATTATAAACCATCAACAATTTTTTTACAATTGCAGGATTTAACAATCTAGAAACATTAATATGAGTGACATAGCTTTCTATTCTTACGTCAAAATAAAGATTATTTATTACTATTTATCATGACTACCTTCATAAAGAAGTACAAACCAGGAGATCTCGTAACGTTTCTCACTGGAGAATATGCTCAGGATTCAGACCACAAGAAAATTGGGTTTAAAAAATTACATGTTTAGGTTTACACTCCTCCGTATAAACTATTCTTGCTACAAACTAGTTATTTCAGAGGAAGCACTAATATTAATTGTGGGAATCGTGGTAAAATGTTATATGCTTTTGCTCTCTCCCTCTCTCTCAAGCCAAAAAGTCATGCCCATTGGTGATGATGGTATTTAAAACAAATCCATCGGTGATACAAAACTAGGATATATAACAGGGAATGAGAGTCAAGACTAAGAAGCTGAATCATTGCCTTAGAAATTTGGACTATTTATGTGTTTCCATTCCCCAGTGTCCCGTAAGAAAATCTAAAAAAAAAACAAATCTATTTTGTGTTTATTCTTTTATTTTACATCATAACCATAATTTTCATTATCAAGCTGCAAAAGTCTACCCTAAATACAAAAACGGGCATTCAAAAGAAACATGTAGCTCCAATCTCACTAATACTAACCTTTGTAAAAATATTAGAGAAGATTGTCTTCCAAACTAATGTCCCACCTTGAACAGCACAGTCTTCTCACTACCCAACAACATGGTTTCCTCAAAGGCCGCTCAACAACCATAGCCCTAAGACAGTTCACAGAGTATATAACTGGACCAGCTTGAGGATGGCTCAACAGCTACCACCCTCTTTCTTGATTTCAGTAAAGCTTTTGACTGTCTCTAAACCATGAACAGCTTCTGAGAAAACTAGAAGCCCTGGAGGTTAAGGGAAAGGAAGCAGGATGGTTCAGAAGCTACCTGAAAGACAGAAAACAGCTTGTTGAAATAAATTACATCGAAAATAAATAACACAATACGCAAAGCCCACTCAGAAACCGCTGACATACATTGGGGTGTCCCACAGGAGTCAGTACTGGGTCCTGTACTATTCCTACTCCCGACAAACGACCTACCAGAAGATTTGCAAGGCCCCTGTCACACTGTCATGTACGCAGATGACACAGTCCTCACTCTTGCATATAAGTCAATGGAAATATAGATAGAGACACACTAGCACATTTCAACAAGGCCAACCACTACTGCAAAGAAAATGACCTTGTTCTTAACAAAAATAAAACCGTACAACTTATTTTCAGCAACATAAGTGCCACCACAGACATCACCCTACCTGGTTTGGAAAAGAACAACGAGACAAAGTACCTTGGCATGACCATTGACTACAAACTAACAAGGAAATCTCATGTAGACCTCATATGCAAAAAACTTTCTTCAGCCACTTACGTCATCAGAAGGATAAAACAAATAAGTGGAACAGATGCAGCGAAGGTAGCCTATTTCGCTCTTTTTGAACCTCATCTGAGATATACCATAGAGGTCTGGGGAGGATCCACTGCATTCAACCTAGAACGCGTTCTCATCCAACAAAAGAGGGCAATCAAGTGTTTGGTTGGCATTGGACAACAAGACAACTACCGTGGACCGTTCAAAGAACAAAAGAAACTCACCGTGGTGTCACTCCACATCCGTCAAACCATCCTACATGAAATAGCCACCCAACAAACCAGACATAGGGACCTACACCATCACAAAACCAGACATGCATTAGATTTCACCCTTCTAATCCACAAGCTATCACTTACTGAAAGATAACCATCCTACAAAGGAGCTAAATACTTTAACCTCCTTCCAGAACAACTTAAACAGCAAAATAATCATCCACTTTTAAGAAAAAACTCACAGACTGGCTGCTAGAAAGACCCTTCTACACCGAAAAAGAATTAATCTCAAGACCTTAAAATGAAATGTTTCTGTAATCCACCTGTAAATATGACGCTGTACTATTCTCAATGAATATGTCATAAAGAATATTGTCTATTGTCTAATGTCTAATGTCTATTACTTTATCTTAAAGTGTATTCAGAAAAAGCTTTGACAATTAGAAATACCCCCGCCGCAGCAAACCTGCAGACTAAGCGAATTTCCATTTGACTGATTTGATTTACACTGAAATGTCTACTTAAAAATATAACATCTATTCCCGATTTAAATAGAATTAGTTTAACAAGTACTTAGGTTTGCTGCATCAGGGAGGGTAAAACTGTTTTTTTGTAAAATGTTAATAGTTAGTAAGAAATAAAAACGTTTTCCAAATTTGATCAAAATATGTTCATAAACAAGCAAACTACAACAGTTTACTTATTCTCCATAAGAATAACATGGGAATTTTAAATTTACATTTTTTTTTTTTATTTTCTCCGTAACCATTGGGCGCATAATAACGCTTCAATATACTAAATTATTTGTTTTTTTAAGCTCTACAAAATGGTTTGGAAAGAAATTGCTAAATTTTATGTTTTTTAGGTCAAAAATGGGAAAAACCTATTTTTACCCCATAAAACCCCCCGTAAACCCCCGTTCCCATGGTCCGATCATGCTGGATCGCGAACTCGTTCGAATAAACGTGGGTTTACACGTTTGTACCAAATTTCATCAAAATCGGATCATTTTTGCTCGAGTTATCGTGCTAACGGAGACATATATATATGAGGGGTTGAGAGGCCAAGGGAGATATGTGACTTTTTTAAAAATGTTGTCATGGTAACGGGTTTTGTTAAAAAAGGGTGGAATTTCAACAAATAATTCACTTATATCCCTTGGCCTCCAAACTAGACACCTAAGAGTTGGAAGCCAAGGGGTATAAGTGAATTTATTTTTATTTTTATTTTATTTTTTATAACTATGAAAAAAATACAATGACATTTTTTAAAAAGTCACATATCTCCCTTGGCCTCTCAACCCCTCATATATATATATATATATGTGTATAAATATTAAGAAAACTGTAGTGATTAGAGCTGCTATTTTGATATATAAATGCATTATTAAAAACTAAGTACCCTTTTTTTAATTCATTTTATTTAACAACGACTAGTTTCGACGATTATGTCATAGTCATGTTGTTTTTATATCTAACAAATACAATAAACATTTTATCTAAATAATAAATACAATCATATGATTTCATAGGTTTTGATGACTTTAGATTTCTTCTGTTTTAAATGGTCTTTATACTATATATAATAATTTTCTCTCTTAATTTAACTGCAGGATTTTTTCAAATATTGGATTGCATTTGTTGATGTTCATTGTGTTTAGTAAATTTTCTGGGTGTTGTTTATAGTTTTTGTAAATGTAAAAATCTTCTTTAACATGTAATTTTGATTTGTCTTTTTCATATTCAAGGATTTTTAAATTTTCGTGGATGCTTTTGTATTCATGGTCTGTTTGTATTAAATGTTCTGCAAAATTAGATTTCATTGTTGTGCGGTTTCCTGATCTTAATGCTTGAATGTGTTCTTTGAACCGTTTTTCAAAAGTTCGACTTGTTTGCCCAATGTAGGATTTATCACAATTAGAACATTTGATTTCATAAATACCTGATTTTCTTATATTGTCTTGATTTTGGTTAGCTATATTTTCTTTTGAAATTTTGTTATTGATCATTTGAAAAGCATTATTTTTTGTTTTATAACTGATTATTACATTTGAACGGTTGAAAGTTTTTCTTAGGGCTTTATTCATTTTGGTATTGTACGGTATACAAATAAATTCTTTTCTTTTTTTGTTTTCTGTTCCTGAAGTAGTTCCTTGTGTTTGAAGTTTTTTAAAGAAGAAATCTTAAATTTCTTCTTAATCATGTTTTCAATTATAGATGGATTGTATCCATTTTTCACTGCCAAATATATAATAGTATTTTTTTCTTTGTTAAAGTTTTCAGTGGACATAGGAATATTTACAAGTCTGTGTGTTAACGAATGAAATGTTGCCAATTTTATTTTAGTCGTTGTTAAATAAAATGAATTAAAAAAAGGGTACTTAGTTTTTAATAATGCATTTATATATATAAATATATATATATATATATATAATATATATGTATATATAAATATATATATATATATATATATATATATATATATGAATTTGAACGGATGGTGTTTTTGGCCTCTAGGGACCTCAAAACGAAAAAAAAAATCGGTCCCGCGTCCAGGTCTTACCATGAGTACTACGGTAATAGCTTATTCCCTATATGGGAAATTCGCTAAAAAAATCATAAATCATTCCTATATTTCTTTGTTAGAACATGATCTTCAGATGTACAACTAGAAAGGGTAACATCTATTTTATATCAAATGCTGTTTTCATCGAATCAGGAGGGAAAGGGGTGGGTTAGATTACTTTAATGCTGAGAGTATTATACAGTATTTTTCAAACACTACATTAACACTACAGTAGACTCCCTCTTATCCGGACGCCTTTTAACCGGACATTGGTTTAACCGGACCACACTCGGTAGAAGTGACATCTCTTTATCCGGATAATTTGTATCAGCACATCGGTTTACCCTAAACTTCTAGGACTGTGTATGGAATGTCATAGGGCTGTGCACATGATAACTTGCAGGTGATGGTGGAGATGTGCCCGGGACTGTCTGTAGAGAAGCATGTTCTGAGTACTTTAGACTTGAAGAATCACTGTGCAGCATCCTACTGCTTCCCGCCTGACCAGCTGATGACAGCACTTCTCTCTGAAGAGAAGCTTGACTCAAAGTTGTACAACCCTCTGGCCGAGTGTAACGAAACTCTGTCAGACCTTATAGCTTTCAACTCCAATGAGGTGAGAGGCTGTTAAATTTAATCTTTATTTGGTTTTAAATTAATTAAACCCCTTTACAAGCTGTCTAAAGCAAAGCTGGTATATTGTATTTTCTGTTTCAGCACAAATACCATTTTTGTTCTTTTTTACTTTCACCCCCTATACATAGTATATGGAGAAAGTATTTTTTTTCGTCAAAATTTTTTAGTTTGATTTTTGTGTGGTTATATCTGATTTGGGTCCCCCTGAACCCAAAAAATTAGTTTTCGAAGTGATGTCTGTGTGTGTGTGTCTGTACCTATGTGTGGACTGTGGATGTGTACAGAGCTACAGACCACACCTGTGGTCAGATTTTGATTAGAGTAAATTTGGTATGTAGGTACTAATCCACGGTACCTATCTCCAGGTGTTTTTTTTTTTCATTTTTTATATTTTGATTTTTATTGCGGATTTTCCCATAAAAACCCCATAAAACAACGGAGGAATCGGATTTTCTCGAAAATGGCCCAAACAATTTTTAAAAAAATGAGTATTTTATATTTCTTTAAATTCTGAACAATATGGTACAAATCACATTATTGTAAAAATTACGGTTCAAAAGTTATCTTGACTTGTGTTATTTTCCCATAAAATAACAATCAGATTTTTTTTAAAAAGCTGGTTTTGATCAAAATTAATATGTTATGGTCCTTATAACTCTAAAAAAATTGTGCAATTCAACTTTTGTGATTTTTAACTATAAAATATCATAGTTACTCCCACCGCTTACCCATGATAAACAGGTTGTTAACAAACTTATGGGAGAAAGTATGCTGATACCGTTTATTGTATTTTCTAATCGTGACCCTGTTACCAAGTCTTCTTTGACCAGTCTTGGTCTTGGTGTTTGGTTCATTTGGTATAATTGCTTGGCGTCTATCCAATTATCAATTATCAATCATTGAAATGGGGACACCACCTAGGTGTGTATTTTAACCCAAATATGAGTGAAGGATGAGTGTAGAATGGTGTGAGATGATCTGTGTAGCTTTGTTACTAGATGTTTCATTAGCCAGGATCATTTATTTAAAGCCCAATGATCAGGAACAGCTGGGTCCAGTTTTGAACCATCACAAATTTTGACTATCAACAACAAACCAAATAATGTGAGTGATGTACGTCTAGTAGCCCAAAGCCTTTACTAAAGTCATCTACAATGCTATTTTGAACCTCAGCAGTGATTTCATGACTCACAATTGTAAGTTACAGTAATTACAGTACCATTAATTTCAGTGGTGTGATAGTAAAATTTCCAGTACGGGAAGCAGGAACGTTTACCATTGTCTGGAGAAAAACACAGGCTGTCTATTAATATATAAGATATTTTTAAGCAGAGTGGAAACGTGATTCTTGTTCCATTACACCACTGTTTAACTTGTACCAGTGTAGGCCTATTCTTGTACTCAATCAATCAATCAATCAGTACTGTACAGGCTCAGTATTTGATTGTTTTGATAAAACTGTTCCAGGAGCAGGAATCAAACTTATGAAGATAAGGAAATTAGAAGTTGTAATATAGTTCAATTACATTTTACTAAAGTAATCCAAATGGCTACTCAGTTTGTAATTAATACTGAAAAATTTTGACTTTTCTGAAGAACTATAAGATCTGATTAATATGGTAATGTGTTAGATCTAGTTAGAATGTTCTGCGGTTTGACAGGTGCGTGAGATGCTAGTGCCAGCAGACCAGCTGTCTGTCAACTGCCTATCGACTGTGTGTCGTCAACAGTTGTGCGCTCTCCTAGACCCACCCGACCCTCTAGGAAAGGACTGGTGTCTCCTAGCAGTCCAGCTAGACCTACAAGACAAGATTGCAGCCATAGAGAAGTCAGGAAACAGTCCCACAGGCATGTTGTTGGACTCCTCACAGGCTAGTGTTGGTAAGCACATATGGTATTGTTTGATGTCATATTTTTTTAGTTATTCCCAAATTTGCACTTGAACATGTCTTGGGACACATTTCCCACCAAATTTTCCAACGTACGTTCTGCAGCTTGTCCCGGCACATGCCTTGTAATATGTCTCACAAATGTTCCGCAGCATGTTCCTGCAAAATGTTCTGCAGTATGCACTTTTAAGAACTAACCAATATATGTTTTTTCTGCAGGCACACTGATCAGGAAGCTGACAGAGCTTGGTCGTGAAGACGCCAGTGCAGTGCTGCTGCGTAACGCTCCTCTCTACCGCATCAACCCCGAGCTGATGCAGACGCAAGACACTCCGAGTGACAGCTCACAAAACCTCTCCCGGTAGATCAAAAATTGTCTGACAAACTCTCATTAAAGCTTTACTACTTATCTTGTAGCCTTCTTAATTTATAAATGTTGTATTTTTGTAGTTGATAATCTTGATGTTACAATTAATTGTAATTTTTAAATTGTGAAACGAATCTCTCTATGAAACACCAAGACAGTTTAAACGCTTTTACATGTAACTTGTTTCTTATTACGTGATTTTGGGAATGTTAGTTGTAAGTATTCAATTATCACTAGACTTATCATGTTTTGTACTTAAACACTGCACTGAATCAAAACTTAGGCCTATTGTAAGACTAGATTGAATCTTTTCTACGCTTGTTACTATAGGTTTGTTGTTAGCGGTACTTAAGCTTTATATTATTGATTGTGTTGTATACATTGTTTTATAAATGTTATAAGGCTTTTTCATGTTTCTCGTTTGTAAGCTTTTTTTATTTAATTTTATATATTATATATATTTGTTGATCTGTAATTTTCAGGCAAGCTCAAGCTTTGTATTTGTTAACCTAGGTTAAGGTTAGTGATCGCTTATATCTGTTTAACTTAAGTTTTAGAGATATATTTTTAGCTATTGAATCTTGTGATTAATGTCTGTACTGTATGCCATATATTATTTATCCATTGTATTGCATTGTGTTTAACTTTGTAACAGTACTTTACTTGTATGATTTTGATATAAAATATGCCTACATTAAAGTTTCATATAATTTAAACTTTTAATTTAATTTTATAATTTAACTTTTAACTTTTAACTTTATAATTTAAAATTTGTATTTGTTTATAATTGTATCATCTCTTGTTAAACATTGTTAATAGGTTGTTCAATTGCACATTCCTTTTATAGGCTGTTTGTAAAAAAGTCGGGGGTTGTTCCTCATTGAGTGTAGCGAGCCAAGCTCTTATACTACCCTCCTGCTTTTGTTTTACAAATACTCCTCCTGAATGGCTGAACTAAATTAAGCACAGTCATAGTAAGAAACTATGGGAAGATATAAATCTGAAATGGTACAAATCGAACCACAGGGCTTATCCCTACATGAATTTAAAGTTTTAGAAATTTACCAGGGGTCTTAGAGGTTCATTGGTCGCTATGACAGTATTTGCAAAAAATTCTTAAGATATGTTTGTCAACTAATCATCCAAACTAGTACATTACGAATACAGAACCAAAGGGAAGAACAATAATTTGGATCAATACCGTTGAGCAGGGGCAATAAAATGAACAACAAAATGAATAACAAATCAGGCTTATGCCTAATTGACTTAAGATACTGCCAGCGAAATATAGCATTAGCTTTGGATACTACAAGTAGACATTCCATTACATGTACCCGACGTTCCATTGACTTTTGATACTGCAATTAGACATCGAATTGATGTGAACCTGATGTACCATTGAATGATACTGCAAGTAGACATCTCATTTATGTGAACCAATTGGTTAAATGTACCATTAATATTGAATACCGGTACTGCAAGGACACAAAACAGTTGTAGTAGGTATTGATTTTGGAAAAGTATTGGATTAATGTGATTGCTCCACTCAATATTGCGAGCAGACAACTGCATTGTACACCTAGTCAAGTTAATACTCAATTTGAATCATTTTCACTCACGTAAGGTTCTGAAGTATATGGTACTGATTTTTTTTTAAATAAGCACTACATGTCCAGACTTTTGCGATCATGTAAATGTGTGTTTTTGGTGAATACCTTGGTGCTCTTTTGAAATCGTTACACTTTACTCCTATATAAACATTTAGTGACAAAATCGCTCAGTTTAAAGTCATTTAAACTAACACATTTGATTGGAAGATTGAAATCACTCAAAAGACAAACTTCAGCCACTCTGTACCTGACTTGTGATATACTGTAACATGATCGGCATAAACACTTTCTTTGCAAATTGTTATCAAGTCTTTGGCATTTTTTGTTATACTCAGCAATATAAACACCTATCTCTGGCCAGATATCAATTATTAAAATGGGGACACCACCTAAAGTAAAGCTGCAAACCCACCTCGTTTTTTACAGGCAGTATGATGACTGTTTGAGAAATACGTTTATCTGTAGTGTTTTTTATAGTTGACAGAGAGGGGCCATTTAAATCAGCAGACAGTTGCTTAGGAAATATACATGGTACTGTGTATAGACCTATATTTTTCCACTTCTAATCAGGGATTTTTTTATTTTAGAATTGTCTATGTAACCGCCTAAGAATATTTCAGTTTTATTGAATGATTTTTTTCTTACTCACCCATTTGTGTCACTTTCAATCACCCTAATGTTACATTGTCAAATATAATAATCCAAAAATATATGTAAAAATTAAGTCACACTATCTACAATGGGCAAATTTCATAAATGTTTTTATTATCTGGACTGCACGTTTATGTAAACTTCATTCTCTAAGTGTAATTATTGAGATGTTTTTATTGTTAAGACTATATCAATGTTCTAAAATGAGCCAACTCTTTAATTTTTTTTTATCATCACGTCGCTAAATATTTCAAAAGCACTTAGTGTAACAAGTAGTGTTGCAGCAAAAGTATTAAATGCAATAGTATTTTGAATGTTCTTTCTCTATCATCAATTTTTTTTAGATATTTAAGAAATCTTTTAATCACATTTTGTGTGATTCAATTTTGTGTGTTGAACTTTATTTGGAATATTACCAAAGTGCTTTTTTCCTGAGGTACCGGTAAGAATTAGGGACCATGTTGTGTATGTGATTGAGCAAAGCACATTTTTGTAGTTCTAAATATTTCTTGCCATACTTTCACAAATAAATCAAGATCATTTACAGTACTGTGTGTCAGTGTTTATATTGACTCGTCCAAAACCTTATCCTTTCAGATGTTTTAGAGGACAAAATAAATTGCAATACAATTAATTTAAATATTTTTTTGCAACCAGCTAAGCTCGGATGTCCAGAGGTAAACCAAAGAATGGTTTTTTTAGGACGTTCTTACTATGCGTCCACTATCGTATAAACAAAAAGACATTAGTAGTAATTTTTTAAATCACAGTTGTTTAAGATATTTTTCTTATACTATTTAGTTTTTTCTATTTACTCATATAGACTATTTTCATTTTCTATTCGCTTTATACATTATTTTTTAGGCAATCTGAGGGCAAAAAGATATCTTTGTGCAATAATTTCCCAATTTGTTCTTGAGCCCATCTTTAAAAATGTAGAATATATTATTCCTTTCCTCATCTAATCACTAGGATTTTATTTTTTGCTATATTTATTTAAGTTCAACGTGCATCTGTGTATTGGGGTGTTTGAATAAGGCTGTGTCAAATTGAATTGTATCTAACTAAGTACTGTTGTAACTGTGTTGATGCACCCACATACTAGCCCATATTAGGATGGTGTTTTGCAAAATTCATAAAAACATTATTGTTAAGACAAATAAAGGTTGATTCCTGAACCACATTCAACAGAGGTCACACAACTCATCACTAGGCTAGACCCCTTCTCTGAAGATGAATATTGCCACCTGTTGCTGAAGTAGCTTTAGAACCGGATGTTCCCCATTTTACCTGAAGCAAAGAAGTTTGAAGTGAACAGATTTTTGACCACCCGTACAATATTAAAATTATTTTGGTATCCAGGAAAACTAAAAACTATGCACACATTTTTTGACAACCAGACATAAGAAGATTGATTGCTTAGTTTGAAGTTCATTGTTGGTGATGGTGAGTTAATGTTGTTCAAATAAGGTTTATAGCGGACATTTTCCATCACGATTGTAAAAAACAATACACAACGTTTCGGGATCTGGAATCTGATCCCGTCCTCAGGTGAAAAAACTTAACTAACACTACATTACAACTAACACAATACACAAACGCCCAACTTAAGTTGGAATACACTACAGGAGGTAGCAGTCAAAAATATGCACTGTATAGCAGTCAAGTGATATGATCATGATACAACATGCAAATAATAAACAATCACAAAACAATCTATAAAAGGTGTAACGTAAAAAGCTCACACAATGGAACACTAATAGCACCGTTTGCAATGACTCCACCAATGAGACACCTTTTATAGATTATAGTGTTTTGTGATTGTTTATTATTTGTATGTTGTATCATGACTTGACTGCTATACAGTGCATATTTTTGACTGCTACCTTCTGTAGTGTACCTACCTATTCCAACTTAGGTTGGGCGTTTGTGTATTGTTAGTTGTAATGTGTTAGTTAAGTTTTTTCACCTGAGGACGGGATCAGGAATGAATGAATGAATGAATGAATTATATCTTTATTCCAACAAATTATTTACAGAAATTCGTACACAAATCCTATTTAAAGGAGAAAAACATAAGTGAATTTAAAAGAATAACATAAAATTAACCTTTGCATTACATCTATGTTTACAAAGCGTACATATGTTTATCCATATATATAAAAGGCAAAGCCCTCACTGACTCACTCATCACTAATTCTCCCACTTCCCACTTACCTAGGAGGCTGAAAATTGGTACACTGATTCTTTAGGCATTAAATAGGAAAACTAAGTGGTTTTTATTCTGATCGGACTCTCGGGCTCCGCCCCAGTGGCTCTGGAGTTTCCCATGTTAACCTAATGAGTACTCATATTTAAATGGAATTAATGAATCATAACAGCTGCTTCAATTTAACAAGTTTCTGTTCTGTGATATTCAATAGCATTAAAGTTACAAGGATTACCAACAGAGTGCAGCACTATTATTTTTTTAACTATGACAACAGCTAATTTGCAACCAAAAGGTGAGTGAGCGTAGCGAACGAACTTCAACCCGGAGGCGAGTTAGGTTAGCGTAACGAACGAGCTAACCTGAAGGCAAGTGAGCGCAGCGAACGAGCTCCAGCCGTAAAGCTGAGTGAGCGTAGCGAACGAACTTCAACCAGGACGTGTGAGCGCATCGAACGAGCTCACATATGAAGTTAAACGGGACAAAGCCCGCGGGTACAGCTAGTAAAGAATAAGCCGACATGGGCAGCGAGCCTGTGCGTCGACTGTAGTTGCATCCAAACATAACATTATTTATCAAAAACCAAATCTAAATAAATAAATAACAGAAGATATGGTGAGGTGAAGATATGGTCTAAATGAAGTTACAAGAGCAAACCATGTGAAAAAATACTAGTGGCATAATTAAGTTTAAATAAAAAATAATATAACTGTAATAGTGACAGAGGTACTTAATATATCGTGATAGATTCCAGATCCCGAAACGTTGTGCATTGTTTTTTTACAATCGTGATGGAAAATGTCCGCAATAAACCTTTGAACAACATTGATTGCTTAGTTGCATTAACTCCCTTGGATAATAAGTGCTTAAATAAATATTATATTAGGTTTATTTAAGTATTTTCACAAGATTTTATATTCCGAAAATAGTTTAGTCACTTATATTTTCCCCCAAAATATTCCTACATCATACAAATTGCTTCTTCTTCCACAAAGCCTCTCTTTTGTGATGGCGCTCATGATCTGCTTCTGTTCAAGTGTTCAAATTGCCTACAAATAACGTTTGATTGTAGACCACTATTTTTTTATCCCGACTAATATTTTTTCGGACAAGAAAGCGAGCTAATAAAAACGTTTTAAAATATACGGTGACTTATCCATATCCCACAAGAATGTGAATAATTTTATTTCAGCTTAGGCGAGGCAATGGGCTAGCACTTACCTTAAAGTTATATACCGTAATAGTTTTAACATTAATATAACCAATTAATAATAATATAATAGAATACAATTGTGACACAAAAATCGTGACTGTGGCGAGATAGGGAGTGGGGCTACGCTTTGGCCCGCTTCTGTGGCTACACGTAATAAGCAGCATATGACAACATGGCCCGCTGCTGGTGGTGCGAGGGTGCGACCATAGACTAACCAACACAAGGGAGTATGTTTGATCTATGGTGCGACAGTCACTCGGGCTCGCCACCACCAGTAGCCAGTAGCCTTTGGGCAGTCACGGGACGGTGGCTAGTGGCGACTGCCGAGAATCTCGAGTGGCCGCGCATAGGCACGGCCGCCTTTAACTCCTACCAAGTACCAATGTTCTTGTTCTTGTTACTGCTTTGAACATTTCAGAGCAGACACTTACGATCACGGAGTATGTTTTATCTATAACATTACCTTGATAGTGGCCGTGTTACTAAAATCATTAATATTGAACTATTTATAGTGCACACGTAACATTTTGAATATTTTTTACGAACATTTTATGTTTACCCCGATAGCTGGCGGAAATAACCGAAGTCCGACGACGGAGCACGATTGCTGCTTGCAGTCGCCATCTTAATCGGATTAAGAGTAATAGTCAAGCGTAAATTTTCTATATTTTCCTCAAAGTAAATTGTTAAGTATTATTTTATGTAAAGGTGGAGAGGCATTCAGATGGCTTGTTTAAATGTTCTCAAACAAGAGATCAAAACTTTGGAAGCAGTTTTTCCCAAGACCCATGAACGATTTCAAATAGTGTCAGCAAGTGTAGATGAGCTAAACTGCAGATTTATTGGAAGAAATGGAAAACGATATGAAATTCACGCAAATATTACTGTAAGTTTGTTTTTCCGTGTAAGATATTGCCAAGTGCACAACCTATGTGTTACTAACCCTTCCAAATTCTTGAAAACCCCTTATTTCCTAAGGTTCTCGTCTTCTTTAAACACAAAACAGCTGTCATAAAATCTCTAAACAAAGAAAGGATAGGCCAAAAATTGTTAGTTTGTGCATCAGCTTTCAGTGTATTATTCTGTTAATTGAATGGAGGATCTCTGCTAATTCAAATAAGTTATTTGTTAGCTTCGGCCTATAGCCTAATAGGAAAATCTGTTGTTTGTAACAGGGGAAATAAACCTAGGCCTAGCTGTGCTATGATTTAGGCTAGCCCAGCTTGAGTTGCCTAGGGTTACTGTTTTCTTACCTTATCAGGCTCTAAATCCTATTCAATCTCTGTTAGTTCTGTTGAACCTAATTGACCTAGGCCTAAGGTGCCTGGCCCTAGTTAGGTACCTTACTGTCTGTAGTAGGCCTACCTTGAGCAACGCTAGCCTGGATGAGTTTAATAGGTTCCTGCTTGATAATGTCAATGAAATTGTAAATAGTATTCCAAATACAGATCTGGATTCCCTGAATATAGTATAAGACAACTGAAGTCTCATGTTAGCTTTACGGAATGGAAACTAGTAGATTCTGTGTAGGCTATAGGCCTATAGTCAATTTAGTTTCAGGGCTAAGACCTACAAGTAGGCCTAGTCAAGATATTTATGGAATGACAACAATAAGTTAGTCCTTAAGGCAGTGGTGTGTGAAATTGCATATTCCCTAGCTACGGTCATCAACAAATGCTTAAAAGTAGGGGCCTTTCCCAATGTTCTAAAAGTGGCTCGTACGGTACCCATACACAAAAAGGGTGACCCGTCCAACTTAAAGAGTGGTATTTATTGTGACGAACGTGACCATGGGAACCTATATAGATTTCACTAGAAACTAGATTTTTAGCTGAAAATAATGGTGCAACAATTTTTCCGCGCTCTTAAATATTAACAGAGTTACAGCTGTTTTAAGTTTTATTTACCGGTAGGCCTAGACCTACTGTAACCTATTTATAAGCCTATGAAATGTTCTCTCCAGATAAGTTACTTGATATGTTACGTTAATTGTAAGTAATTAAAGTAGTAGAAGACTCACTTTTTACCAGGAAATAACAGCGCAAAAATGTCTCCGAGGCCACGGATAACTAAGGTAACTTAAGTTAATTTGTTGTGTTGATTTCCTTTATCTATTCTACCTTCCATTCAAGTCTGCTACTAAACTGCATTACGGAATTACGGAACAACGGAACGGACTAACTGTTACTTGTAGAACTATACTGATGAACCTGAAATGAAAATGAAAATACGAAATATTGAAGAGAAGAGAATAAAAATAAGTCAATCAAGTCATTTAAAGTACATGTGCTAGAAACAACACGGAACACGGCACTCAATAACTTATTTCAGAATGATTTTATTTAGGCATGTGTGGAAGGCAAGTCGGGCTTATGCGGATTCGTGACTGTATTGAGTGTTTTGAAGTTAGGTTAGATTAGGAAGGTAAAGTGTAGGTTATAGTGAACCGAGTTGATAATTTATATTACACACAGACAGTTGTTGTGCAATTAAAATAGTGTGTTAAACACAATGAAATAACGATTTCAAAAATGCTGCAAGCAATTTTTACAGGGCACAGCAACGTTACGGGGTGGGGGGCGTTGCTCTCTTGTCCATTAAGTCCTACCTGGAAAATAGGCAGCAAGTGATATCACTTAGCGGTGCTCAGTCAGAACCTTTGCCAATCCAACATGGCGTTCCTCAGGGATCGGTACTGGGACCAATTTTATTTCTGGTCTCAATCAATGACCTTGACTTGAGTGGCTCAACACTAAGATTTGCAGACGACACTGCAATTTTGTCAACAGGTTCTACTCCTGCTCAAGCTTTCGACAACGCAGAAATTCTTTTCGAGGAAGCCAAGACATCGTTCTCAGCCAATAAATTCAAGCTGAACGAGGGTAAGTCACAAAAGATCGTGTGCACCTTAACTAGACATCCTCAGATTGAAACTAAAGTTAATCTGCTTGGTTTCACCATTGACCCCAAACTGACATGGTCTGAGCATATTGAAGTCGAATGCAGAAGGTTAATCGAGAGTTGTGTGTCTGCTAAGAAAGCTGTCTAAGCTGGTAACATCACAATACCTACTGGTCGTCTATCACGCTCTCTTCCATAGCGTGCTAAGCTACTTTGGGGGCATGCACCTAACTGCCATGAAGTTCTTCTAGAGCAAAAGAAGGCTATCAGGATAATAACGTTTAGAAAACGATTGGACCACTGCAAGCCTCTTTTTATAGAAACCAAAATTTTAACAGTTTACAGCCACTTTGTTCTTCTATGTGCATCATATGTCAAAAACAACATTCAAAATTTTCCGACCAGAAATACATTCCATACGTACAGAACAAGACATAATCAGGAAATAGACCTTCCCTTTTGCAGGCTCTCTAAAACTAAAAATGCTTTCCCGACCATAGCGCTCAAGATTTATAACAATTTGCCCCAAGAAATTAAGAACCTTGAAACAAGGAAGTTTGATAAAGTGTTGAAGGCATGGATAGTATGAAGGCCACTCTATAGCATGGATGAGTTTTTTAAAAACTAAACCGAAACTAAATTGAGGCTACATCCACTGCCATAAGTTACGTTTACATACATGTAAATAGTAAGATACAAGCATAACAGTCAGTATTTTATTTAATTTTTATTAATTCTAATTGACACAACCTATCCGGCATAGCTGGTCTTGGTGAAGAAGAAGGTATTAAGGTACCTAAGTTAACTTACCTCTGTAAGATTACAGCCTCTGGCTTGCCATTTTTTTACATTACAGATTAGAAACATGGGATTAACTTACTGTAGGTACCGGTAACTTATAGGCCTAGTGGTTTTGTTTGTTTTACATCACATGTAACTTTACGAGGGCCTAAGTCTAATACCACGTATGAGGAAAATGCCCACTTTACAGGAGAGCAAAAAAACGTTGTAATTATTATGGTTTTTACGAAAAACAGCTCATTACTTTATAGGAATGTACATGTAGTTATTAAATTTGATAAATGTTATGTAATATGATTTCTACTGTACTGTCAAATTTGTCATCAGCTGTTTATTTAAGACTGTTTTGTTTATGTATTTAATGTTTACAGTTTTGTGTTAATTCTCCATTTAAAATGTAGCAGATTATTAAGTTGAATAAAACCATATCAATTTGGTTTCTAAACATTTCTTTTCATAACAATTTATTCAACTTAATACTTTTAACTATAGTATTACAAGTTCTTCTATACAATTTCTTTTCTATCTTTTCTATTCAAGTTTATTCCAAGAAATCTAAATGGATAAATTCTTCAAACCTGAGCGCCTATCTTTGGACCCTAATGACCCCCATTCTGATCGTCAGTGGAAACATTGGAAAACCACTTTCAAGAATTTCATGGAAGAAATATGTGCTGCAGAAGATGATCAACTAAAACTTCTAACTAATTTTGTGGATTACAACATACATGATATAATCTCAGAGGCAGATTCTTATACCGAAGCTATATCTATTCTTGACAAACTTTTTATAAAGCCTACTAATGAGGTATATTCACGTCATCAACTGGCCACTAGAAGACAGGAATCTGGAGAAAATATTGATCAGTATCTTAGAAAACTCAAAGAACTTAGTAAAGCATGCAACTTTAAATCTGTCACTGCTAATGAAAATCGTAATGAGTACATAAGAGACGCTTTCATTCGAGGATTAATATCACAGTCCATTCGACAAAGACTTCTTGAAAATCTAACTTTGACTCTTGAAGAAGCTTATAATCAAGCCATTACCTTGGAATCAGCTGAAAATCAGGCGGTTTCATATATTTCAAGCCCTTGTAACTCTATATCTCAGTCAACTCCTACAAATGTTGATGTTACTGATACAAATGTTTCTCAGGCAGCTTCTGATTCGTCTTCACACCAATTATCCTCGTTAAGAAGAGGGAAATGTTTCTTTTGTGGACGGTCACGGCACTCTCGAGCCAACTGTCCTGCCAAAGACTCAGTTTGTAATATTTGTGACAAGAAAGGCCATTGGGCAACAGTTTGCAATTCTCGTAACCGAAGTAGAACATTTAAGGGTAAAACAACTCAAAGTGAAAAGACAGAAATAAACTCAATGTCTTCCTCTCTTGTTGCTGCCTCACAAAAATGTCTTTCAAAAGCTACAGTGTCACTGATGTTAAATGGCAAACCAGTAGATGCACTCATTGATACTGGGAGTTCCGACAGTTTTATATCCGAAGCTACTGTGAAAAGATTCAATATTTCTAAATACCCAACAAAGCATGAAATATCGATGGCATCAACAAGCCATGTTTCATCAACTCTTGGCCACTGTATTGTTGACATGGTGTGCGATGGCCACGAATACCCACAGACAAAGCTGCTCGTCTTAACTGATTTATGTGCCGATGTTGTAATTGGACATGACATCCTTCGGCAACATTCTGCTGTGGAGCTGAATTTCGGTGGTAAACGCCCACCCTTCAACGTTTGCAATCTACTTAGGGCTAAAGTATCACCACCACCACTGTTTGATAATTTAACTAATGACGTCAAGCCTGTAGCCATCAAGTCCCGCCGCTACTCTGAAGATGATAGTAAGTTCATAAAAAGTGAAGTAAGTAGGCTTATATCAGAAGGAATAATTGAACCAAGTAAATCACCTTGGAGAGCCCAAGTGATTGTGGTCAACAATGGGCACAAGAGACGTCTGTGTATTGACTACTCTCAAACCATCAACAAATTCACACAGCTTGATGCCTACCCTCTACCTCACATTGAATCATTTGTCTCTAAGCTTGCTCAATACAAAGTGTTCAGTACAATCGATCTGAAGGAGGCATATCACCAAATACCTATCCGGAATGAAGATAAACCATTCACTGCATTTGAAGCTAATGGGAGACTTTACCAATA